TGATACTTAGGTCAGAAAAGAAAACAAGATGGAGATTCTGGTGAGTGCTTTTGGCCGAGAATCTGGTTATTGATCAATTCAGAGTGATGTGCAGTGCAATAAATCAAAAATATTAACTTTGATCACTCTATCTCCTTTAGCAGAGTCACCCTCTAAAAAAGCTCATCCAAGTATAAGTAGCAGAAGTGCTCTTAGGGATGCGATTACAGAAGCAGGGCTTGTAACGAAAGGGATAGTGAATGGTAGCCCTGTAATCTCGCCTCTAAACTCGAAAGAGAGGGTCAAGCTGCTTTCGTACATGGGGAAGGAGTTATCAGGAGATAGTATTTACTGCAGCATTATTAGCGTGGCTTGCGAGCTCCGAAATTCTGGTGGTATCAAGGATTCCAAAATATTGACTGCCCCTGAGGGTCGTATCTTCCCTATTGCTAAAACAAGGCATCTTTATATCAGAGATGAATATAAAGAGCTTTATGACCATATTACATCCAAATTAAGTACCCCTCATGAAGTATCTCGTTTGAACCGACTCTTTATCACTGGAACGCCTGGAATTGGGAAGTCAGCCTTTTTGGTCTATTTTGCCATCCGCCTCCTTGCCGAACACGATGAGGAAAATCCACCGATTATTATTTTCCATGAGAAGCAGAGTACCGAATGTTATGCCTACGGAGGAACAACTTGCCGACGTTATGGGGAGAGAGTAGATTTCAAAAATTTCCTTGACCAACGTGAAACGTGGTATTTAGTTGATAGTGGTAAAAATCCTCAACCAGGTGAAGCCAGGACGATATTTTCAGCATCGCCAAGAACTCTCTATGGGCAATACGATGAACTCACCAAGGAAAATACACCAAATAGCTACTATCACATGTCACTCTGGAGTCTGGATGAGCTTAAGGAATGTAGAGCCAATGTAAAGTTTTTTCATGTAGTGAGTGAAGCATTTTTGGAGGAGCTTTTTTACGACTTGGGGGGCGTGCCAAGACAGGTTCTACAGGCTCCAGCCGACGTACTATCCGATAATCAAAAATATACTGAGCGTGCTAAAAAAGCTGCGTTTCTCCGCGTCAACGATGCCATTAGTACACTCGAGAAACCAGCAGATCTTCTAAGCCTCTTTGCACGAGGAAAAGATGCGAGTGTATTTAGTGGTCGTTTACTCCATAGAGTCCCCACTTCTGACCATCTCGACTTCTACCTGGTGTGGGCATCTCGTTGGGTCGAATCACAGATTATGGACAAAATAAAAGATAACACTTGGGTCGATGTGTTGGCGAAACTTGTCACAGGCGGAGAGGATATAGATAAAGGCCCACTGTTTGAAATCTATGCTCATCACTTATTTCGACGTGGTGATATTAGATTTCCCTTTAGGGATCTCCAGTCAGGCGAAACAGGATTTCTTGATTTTCCAGCAAATCCAGAAGAGGTGTTTATCCGGACTTCAGAGGAATTATCAGGGCTCACTCAATCAGCTGGCAAGTTGTTTGTACCAGAACATTCTAAATTTCCGTGCATTGATTTTGCATTGGGACCCAACGAGCTATTTCAGGTCACAGTATCAGAGAAGCATCCGATCAAGCAAGCACCCTTCAGGAAGATAATTGATTATATTACTGCAGACCGATCAAAGTCGAAGGGAAGTGATGATATTTTCCTCTATTTTGTGGTGCCAGGAGACGTATATGGCGATTTTAAAGTTCAGAACTTTCTTACCGCCAGAAATACGGTCGTCAAGAATCCATATAAATGCTTAAAACATGTAAGTCAGCGTGTCATAAAAATCGACATCGAAGCTGCATATTCAGGAGGATCAGCCGGTACGAATCTGGAGAATTAAATCGAATAGCAATCAAGTGGATGGAAAATTATCTTTTTTTAAAAAAAGCATTATACCCGTTCCTTGAGGATTTTTTACAATGGTTCATTCTTTATGAATGAAGCCATCATTATCCACTTACCCTTTATGCAAAAGTCAAGGTAGTGTTCTAGGGGGATCTAAGGGTGCAATAAAGGTATCTTTATTCAGGGGGAACTATGCTACAGAACTAGATAGAAAAGTAGACCTATTTATACTAGTTAATGTCCTGTTGCAAGGAATGCTCTAGAAATATGGGCGAAATACTATGTTGCACAAAATTATTATAGTGATTTCGCTTGCACTTTAGACAAAGGCGGTAGCGCTTTTAAATCGGTCCTACACACATACTTATTGAGGGCCCGTCATAACCGCTGTTGCATATTTCGTTTAATTGCAGCCCTCCAGCCCACATAAATAGGACCTTTATATATAGAAAACAAATGAATAAATGCTCGGATAATGTGGTGCTGCGTGCAATGTTTTAACCTAATTGATATTGCTTATACATGATCTCTGTCACTCAGGAAATTAAAAACAAAACCTGTGAGGAAAAAATAAACCTCAACGTGCAGATTATTATTTTTTGCCAGTAAAAAACCTCTGCGATACTCTCTATGAGCGTTATGATGCCATTCTCTTGGATCGTGTTATTCGTCTATTTTTTGAGTTGGCTTTATCAGATGGCTGTACCTTTTTTTGGCTTATTAACCTCTGGTGTTGCTTCAGGAGATGCTTTCGACTCGGGAATTTTTTCAAATTTAAAAAAGAGACCTCCAGCCAAAATGTCAAGTTTGGTCCCAGCCTGAGAGAGAAGTGTCTGCAAGAGCAAGCCAGATTTGCCTTTCAGTACGTGCATGTGCACATGAACTTCGTCCTCAGACTGGTGACGAGCCTTGCTCAGGCCCTCTGTAACCAAGATTTCTGTTTGGTTTAGGATTCGCATAATTGTCATACGGATGTGGTGCTTTTGATTGTGGTCTTTTAGCTTTCAGTACAGCACTTGGCGCTGCTTTTTTAAAGAATAATTAATAGCCAAAATTTTGTGAATTAAAGATGAATGTTTGTTTTCATCAAAAGGTGAGCCAAAGGTGAGCCGGTAGGGCACTCAACAATTGTGTTGATATTTAGTTTACTTCTTTTTTGTTCTAGGTTTTTACCAAGAATATTCTAGGGTTTATCATCGGCTGCTTGAGCTCTGATCCCTAATTGATAGGGATGATGGTTCTCAACTCTTCCAGGATGGTTCCTTTGTTTAGGAAAGGACTCTATAGTATTCTTTAATTGATCTTGGGTTTCAGCCTCAGGAAGCGACCGTTCTTCGTTTGGTGCAACAACAAGTTGCCTAGTTTTGTTCATGGCTTCCTGGATATCAGTCAGATCTTTGATCATTTGATAATGGACCTCAGCCCTGTCGAGTTTGTCAGTGAGATCTTTGTTCATCTGCTCAAACTTCAGTCTAGCTGCTTCAGCATCTTCGGTAGGAAGGGCTGGATTGATGATTGCCTCATTGTAATGAACGGTCGTCTTCATCTTCTCACCCAAACAATTTTGGTAGTTGACATCAGCTTGAATGAGTGATTCTTTTAGCTGGCTCAACAGTGCTTGGGAAGGGACTTCCGCTTCCGAAAGCGTTGGTAGAGATTTGGTGGGGGTTGGATAGAAGCAACGACCCTAAGGTAGGATATGAGTGTCAAAGACAGGAGAAGATTGAATGGAATTGATTGAAGTGGGGATATGTAAGGAATTTGAGCAAATGTCTGTTCTTCTCAGAGTTCCTTTACTATTATTATCTTTTATCTATATGAATATACAGGAGCGCCACCACCTGTAGTGATGTCTAGACGTAACGCGCCGGGCGGCGTAGTTTATCACGTTCCAAATTTGGAAGCAAATCAACAAAAGATCGTCCTGATTTACAACGCCCTGTCAATAAAAAAATAAACATTCAAGTGAGGCTGAATAGTGGGGCGTATCTTTTAATGACACGGGTAAAACCAAGACCAGTGATTGGCTGATGGTCATGCCATGCATGGTGAATGCGGATGTTAATGGGGAGTGCAATTCTTGAAGGAATCAGTTATAAAGTAATTCTCGCTCCTTCATTCCTCATTCCTGAACTACAGCCATTGCCAAAATTTTCCCATACACTCAAACTGCATCGGTTGACCTCATTTATGAATAAAAAAAAAAAAATAACAATATGTCTTCAACCTGTAACAATGCTCAAGATTTAGAAGCTCAATAAACATTAATATTACACATACATACATACATAGCGTTTAAGCATCCAATGTAACTGTATCTTCAAGAAATGTGTATTTGTTTACCTTTAAATAAATATATTTAACGAACCCGTAAAAAGGGAAAGCAAGCATCAATGAACATAATCTATCCTCTTCTTGATGTATCAGGTTGTTAAACGCTGCTAAAATCATCTAATTTGTTGAGCCTGTTGAAGCCATTGGGGACCACTCCAACATATCAAACTCGTGATGAGACGTTGGAGGTATTATGGATGTAGACAGTGAAAAGCTATGTCAAGGAAATGTGAGTGCTGATAAGAAGAGTTCAATCCGAAGAGGAGGAGTTTATAAACCTTTTCAAGTCTCGGCAACACAGCACGATCGATATTGATCAATTATCAACCCATACAGTTACATCGCTTTGAGATTTTTAATTGCAATACTAAGTTTACTAAGTTTTACAAGTCCTTCGTGACAATAAACCAGAGATCACGGACAAAGGAGGAAATGAAAAATAAAAATAAAAAAACATAAAAATATAATCTCAACAGTGGTACTAGAACAATGATAATGCGGTAGTGATAATAAAATAAAGTAAGTGTAAAAGCACAATAATAACAAATATATAATATATATATAAAAAGAGAAAATATATCAATGAAAGTGTGAGCGACGATATACAATGATAGTACATTTTTACAACAAAATGGTGCACACGCAGAAAAAAGAAAAGGAGCAAAAAGAGAAAGAAAAAAAAAATGAAAAAACCACGGAACTGGAAGGGGATACTCTCGTGTCTCTTGGCTGAATAGACACGGTTCGGCACTTAGATGCCAACCAAACAAAACAAAAAAAAAAAAAAAAAAAAAAAAAAAGAAAAAGAAAAATGGCGATTACATGTAGCCGTTGTAAGGGTTGTAGTCGTTCATGCCGATCATACCCATGTTGCCGAACTGCATACCAGAGAAACCAAAACCCATTATGTTGCCATTAACGTTGTTGGGGATGTTGTTCATGCCGTTCATGTTGTTTCCACTGTTCATGCCGTTCATGTTACCGTTAGTCATAGCGCCTGAAATCCCTCCGACATTGCTCATACTGCCCATGTTGGGCATAGGCATGACATTCATATGACCCAATCCGTTCATATTGTTGGTCATATTCGCCATATTCGCCATATTCATCGCCATACCATTGGGCATACCATTCATGCCATTCATATTAGCCATGTTCATGCCGTTCAAGTTGCCCATATTACCCATCCCTCCAAGACCATTCATGCCATTCATGGGACCCATGACACCCATACCGTTCATACCCAGATGGGCTATCTGGTTTACAGACATCTGCTCACGGTGGAGCTTACTCTGGATGCGCTTGCCATAAGGAGTATTGCGGATGGCTGGGAGTAAAGGTCGAATACATTCGACCAACTGCGCACGTTGCATAGGATCAGCAAATTCCAAAGCGGTCTGGACCACATAGTTGGCATACGAATCGCGGAGGAGTTTATCTAAACGCGCCTTATTAATCATTTCCTCGATCAAGAACTTGCGGGTCTCCGGCTCAGCCACGCGAATACACTATGTGTAACATGTGAAAAGATACAAAATAAATTAAGCTTTTCATACACCCAAGAGTCTGTTTTGAAGAGCACCTGTCCTTTTCTTACCTTTTCAATGACATTGGAGCTAAACTTTTGAACGGACAGGACACAAACATTGCCGATGAATCGGCGAATGAGTGCATCTGTAAAGCGGTTATCAGCCAGATCTAACACGTATTGAACTACATAGTTGCCGAATGGATCCTGAACCAAAGCAAGAGCATTAAACGTGATCTCACGCACAAGCTGAATCTTTTGTGAAGCGGAAGCATGATCAATACATCGCTGCAAGACGCAGCATCCATGACGATGGGTTGCCACCTCAATGCAATGTGCGCTAATGGCGTTATAGATGAACTGATTATCCTCTGATGCCAAGCGGTTGAGACATTTTTGGATAACATGATTTCCATTCAAGTCCTTGATCAATGTCACAACGCTTGGATTGAGAGCCACAACCACGATAGCAATCTGCTGGGGAGTCGACAAAAACTCAATCATTTTTTGGACAGCCCTGGTGCCATGCATATTCAAGGAAATGTTGACAAGATCGGGAGCAACAGTTTCAACAATGGCAGTCCGCTGTTCATCACCACAGTATTCAAGAAGCTTCTGGCAAAGATAGTTTCCAAATGGGTCTAGTTCCAGTGATTATTAAACCAAAATTAGGTTTTTTTTTTTTTTTTTTTTGCAAAGAAAGTTAATAACCTTTGAAGGTAAAATTGTCTAATGCATCAGACATGACAGCGCAATCAACATACCTGTCATAAGCTCAACAAAGTGACCAAAAACTTCGTTGAAAATAATGGCCAAGTGAGCTTCATTCTGTTCCTCGAGCTTTTTCTGCAGATAGCGGCATCCATGCTGGTCTTTGCAGAGCGAGTAAATCTGTCCAATAAAACCTTCAAGCACAGCACCAGCAAAACGATTGGCATCAGCGTCGACAACGGGGCGCTTAGTATTTCCTTTGGTGTTATGCATGCCATTCATTTGTTGCTGAGGCGGTTGCTGATGTTGCATACGTAAAACATTAGTGGCGTTGCTCGATGGGATATCAAAGGCATTTCCATTCTGGGGAGTGCTGAAAGGAAACCCTGCGGTGGAGCCTGTTAAACTTGTCATCGAACTAGCCCCACTGATGCTATTCATGCGCGAGTAGAAAGAGCCAACAGTATTCGAGAGACCGCCTGCTGACATGCTCAGGCCTGGGCTTAAAGGTGTGCTTAGTGGTGTACCCAAGGGAGTACCCACCGCAGAACGGGAAGTAGAGGGCAAGTTGGGCGTATGAGAATAGGGACACATGTCACCTCGAGGACAGTAGCCTTGCTGGAATTGCAGGCAGGCATCGCTGGGACTCGAGTCAGATTTGATGAGTCCGCGGTGGTCTGTCTCTGGTAGATCATCAAATGGCTTCAGCGATGGGGGTTTGTTGAAACGCGTAGGAATCTCGGCTGATGAATACTTTGGTGTGAGTTTTGGCAAGGGAGATTTGAGAGGATCATCAGAGTTGCCCATTCCTCCAAACCCGATGATACCGCTTCCATGTTGAGCAACAGTTGGCAGGCGATCGCTGGAGGACGTAAGAGGTTTGTTAAACTGAGGCCATTCGGCACGAGGGTGGCGCAGACCTGAAGTGCGCGAGATTTGAGCCAAATCAAGAGCTCCTGAAGAGGACGAACGCATAGGGAGAAATGTTTCATCGTCCTCCGTCCCCATCTGGAGGTAACGAGGCAAATAAGAGGCGCTACCAATAGCCGAAGATCCCGCTCCAAGTCCCTGTTGGTCCTTCCAGATGCTTCGTGGAATTGTTGGGAGACGGTTACTGGAACCAGTGGATGTGGTGGTAGTTGTAGTGTCATCGTTAAAAATGAATCTTTCCGCGAGCTGAGAAAGATGTGCATTTTCGCTAAATGCGGATTCTGAAGGTGAGGTAACATCTTCTTTTGCAGTAATCGACCGCCCAATCTTGGATAAACTATACACACAAAGATGACAGAGATGAATAAGTGGTTCTTTCCAGTTGTGTCGTAAAGTAACGAGTAACGACTAGATTGCGTGTGGTTACTTACTCCACAGGTCGCTTAGACTTGTCACCAACTGTTAACTTTTCCATTCCACTCCAAATATCAGTACCGTCGTTCGAGTTACGTCTAGAGACGGGTAAAGAACGGATATTGGCCAACACATGGGACGAATCAACAGTAGAACCAGTAGTATTGTTTGTTGATTTCTTATTGCCAGCAAGCATAGCCTTTTCTTCCTCCAGTTGCTGGATTTCCAACTGCTGCATTTGCTGTTCAAAGAGTTCACGCTTCAAGTTGCGCTGACGCTCGTGCTCCAGCCTTTTTTGTTCAAGCTTTGCTGCCTATTGAAAGAGCAGTTGATATACAAAGTCAGAATCAGTTACGAGCTATCTCATAAAGTCATTAGAAGAAAAAAAAAAAAAAAAAAAAAAAAAACTATCAAAGTTCACTCACCACTTCATGGTCTTCCGTTGACTCTACAGGAGAGCTACGGCTGCTGGAACGATCTTTATCGCGAGATTCGGACTGAGTAGAACCAACGGCTCCAGCACCAGTGCTCGTATGGCGTTGAGGCAGGATTTCATCTTCATTATTGTTCAGACTAGCTTCTGAGGACAGGAATTGGGATTTACTGGGAGTCATGGCAGAAGATACCTTGATAGACTTTCCAAGACCGTTTAGATATGTCTCGTATTTAAGGCTAGAGAGCTCTGGGGGCATCGAATGCCAAATATGGCCAGAGCTTGGGATGGCTTGAAGTTAAAAAGCAAAGATCTCCAGGCGTGGAAACGATGACCTGATTACGTCGTGGGTTTGAAAAGAAAAGAATTAATTAGTACAACAACAAGTCAACATTAAAAAAAAAAAAAAAAAAAAAAAATGACGGAATATCCCAAGGAGAGGAAGAAAAAAAAAGAGAGAGAGAGAGAGAAAGACTGGTAGAGTGAGGTATGAAAATAAAAAAATTGTGCATGTGTGTATCCCTGCGTGAGGAGTTGGTGTGTGCGTAGGGACGGGTTCCTGACAAGTAATTCGGTCCAGGATTGCTGTGAGATACACTCGGACGAACAAGCAGACAAGATAAATAGTGCCCGACAATCGGCATGAAAAAATAGGGTGGATATGATAAACCTTATCGTGGCATGGAGAGGCGGGTTTGGATCATGGAAGATATATAAACTAAGACTTTTTCTCGCTCTTTTTCTGTCGGAATGGTTCTATAACCTCCGATGACAGTAATTGTTCAATGTTGTCTCAAGCATAGACTGATCTGATGGTAAAATGATGAACAGTGAAGGAGATGAATGCAAATGGATTGTCATTGAGGTCTTTTCTTTGTATTGTAGTGTGTGGCTGATTGATCGTCCAGAAGAGATTGGTGTCGGGTAAAAGAAAGTTTTGCTTACCACGCGAGAGAATAGGTAAAAGAAGATGAATATGAATGTGAAAGGAAGGATGAAGAGTAAGAGAAAGAAACCAATGATTGTTTGTTCGTTTTTGTTGAATGGAGACGAAACCTCTGTTTCGAGATCCAACAAGGCACAAGGGATGAGAAGAGTGGAGAGAAGGAGCAAACGAAAGAGGATGATTAAAAAGATAATAATAAAAAAAAAAAACAAAAATTCAAAGGGAACAGGAAACAGGGTTGGTTCAGATTGATTAAGACTGGATGGCTCAATTAAATATTGTATTTTTTTTAAAAAAAAAAAAGCTGTTAGAACAGCTTGCAGCAGAGAACGGTCAGTCCTACACAAACAACTAACTGTACTAAAAAAAAAAAAAAAAAAAAAAAAAAGTTGATGACTGATGGAAATGAAGAATGAGAAGCAAAGAAAAGCAGGAGAAATATAAACAAACTATTAAAAGAGAAAAAGCACCTTGACTTCGGGTGGAACTTGGAATGGGAGCCAATGAGGATGGGAAAGGAGTCAAAGGAAATGAGAGAATGTTGTTGTGTCAATGACAATTGCTTGGTAATGGACTAAAAAAAAGCGATGAAAGAGAAGAAAGAGGACTAGGGAAAACGAGCGGGCCAATGGGTAAACAACTCAACCCAAAACATGTAAACACCACAAGCATACACATACAGAATGGACACAGCAATGCTTGCAAAAAGATAATGATGTCTTTGTTTCTTCCTTCACGGCAACCCAGGGATCCATTCATGTCACACCATCCCTTCAAAGCAGCATGGAAATGCAAATCCTCCTTTATTTTTACAATTTTTTTTTTTTTTTATCAATGCACTCGCAATGCGACACAAGTTTAGGGCGGGTCTACAGGCATGTCCAGCTGTCATTTTCTCAACTTGACAGGTCTCGAAGGATTTTGAACAGCAAAATCATCCACACACATTCAGCACAGCACAGATAAATCTCTTTTGAATCAAGAAAGAAAAAAATCCAAAAGGGATGTTGACAAAAAGAAAGTAAAAGACGAATAAGACAGGGATGAATGAGTTCTGATCCAATCGATGCTCATCTTCCAAAAACAGATACTGAATAGCCTAGAACAAATGCCTATTGAAGTTAAAAGCACAAGACATTCGTTGTGTGTATGTCCGTTCTTTTCTTTCACAGCCCATGGTTTAAACTTGTCCTTTTTCTTATTGTTTTTTCTTTCTTTTCTTGACCTTACTTTGCTCGTAAACACATGCGTGTGTATGTGGGTGTGGTTTGATGCATGTTTGTGGGGCGGTTCTCGCTTACAAACTTGCTGACGTTACAAAGGATAAAACGGGAAGTGGACATCATCGTGTTGATTTTTTTTTTTTTTTTCAAACATGAATGCAGTCTTTTGGGCTGGTCAGACTAATGCGAAAATGGAAAGAAACGATCGTACCTTTTTCTTTGCATGATTAAAAACAGCAATTGTGCACGGTAATAGAAAAAACAGTGTCAGCCTTCGAAGAAAATCATGGGAGCAGACCAAGTTTTTTTTTTCTCCTTCGTACGCGTGTTTTATGGCTTCCACAGCTCCGACACACTTTTTTTGAGGAGTGATAAACATGGTGCACAGCGCGGGATTTTCGGGAGGAAAATGAAAAGCCACTGCATGCCATGCTACCACCGTTGTCAGTTTTTTTTTAACCAATGCGTCGGCGCAGAAAACTTGCCCTGGGTCCCTTTACTGGATTGTCACTTTGTAGACATTATCCCTGACTGTCGACTTTTTTTTTTTTTTTTTTCGATCGCCTGTTGTAGCTGTGGCTGAAGTAATAATCACGTGTAAATACCAATGTTTTCTTTTTTTTTAACAAATTTTCACAGATCAACTCTCCTCTCAACTCCTCATTACCTTCACCTGTTCGTCATATTGATTATGTTGAGGAACAAGAATTCATCTTCATTGCGACATAGGAACAAGAGTTGAAGATCTTTATTTTTATATTGCAGGTCTCTAACGCGACATTGATCATATCAATTTTTCATTTCTATGCTCAATTGCTTGGCGTTTCGTATGGAGTTTTTTTTTTTTGTGTAAGTATTTTTTTTTGTAAAGATCCTAAAAAACCTCTCCTTTCTGAGTAATAATATTGGATTTGTTCAAATGATGAATACAGGGATTTTTCCACGTCTAAAAAAACATAATGTTGAGATTTATTGTTGCCTTCCTTCTGATCATCTCCCTTCAATCCATTGCTGTTTTACTTGTTTCATTCATAAGATGATAGTAGAAATACTATCATGTTTGTGCTTATCACTAATTATTATTATCATTGCTGGCTCTTTTCTGTTTAGATCGATTTTGGAATAGAGCTATCGACTATATCTTTCACGGGGAGTTTTTTCATCTTGCAAGAAGCTTTTTTGATCTTACCCAAGGTTAGTCATCATTTTTTCTTTTCTTTTCTTTTTTTTCTTTTTTACTTTCTGGGATGATGAATACAGGAATTTTCCACGTCTAAACATATTATGTTGAGATTTATTGTTGCCTTCCTTCTGACCCTCTTGATCCGTATAAATTGAAAAAAAAAAAAAGGAAAAAAATCTTTCTTCTGTTTTTTTTAACACTTGCTGTATACATATCTCTTCCTTAATAGCTTTGTTCACCTCATCCCTTCCTGTCCCAAGGTAAGAAAATATTATTGTTGCTAATTTGAAGTGCTAATTAACATTCATAGGCTATAGAAAGGAGTTCGAGTGAAATGAAATAAAAATAAACCCTGCTTTTTCATTTGATAACTTTAAAACGCTTAAAGACACATGCGCCAAAAGGCGTTGATGGGGATTACGTGATAGTTTAAACTCGTCGTCATTCTTTTCTTTAGTGAATTTGATGACCATGATGATTTTTGGTCGTTCACGCTGGGAGAGGGTAGAGAGGAGAACAGCTAGCTTCCCAGACGCTTTTTTTTTCCTCGAGAAAAGTACAGACGAAGGATATGATCATCATTATGTTTGCACGAAATGATTTTATTTATTTTCAAGACCAAAATTTTTTTTTACATTACACAGCACTGTGCTGGTTCTCGTGCACTAACTGGACGTGAAAGACCGGACCGTGCACGCTGCAACATTGAGCTTCGCCTGCTCTGTATTTGCTGCTGCATGTGTTGCAGATGATGTAAACTCGTATTCGAACTGTCTCCGTTGCTTGCTCCACCATCCGCATCCTCATCATCTGCGTTACCTTCTCCCTCTCCATCAAAAAAACTCATGCCGCCAGAGCCACTGCTGCTGTTACCCGCAAATGCCGAAGATTCAGCAGGTCCGGAAGCGGAGGGATGGGTCCATGAGTAGTAGCTTCGGATCAAAAGTGAGGGTGACCGAGTCTTTGCAGCTTCAACTCCCTCGAGAGTGATGTTTCGGCAATCAAAAACTTGCATCGTAGGTCGAATAGGCCTTCTTGCTCGGGCTACTCCTCCTTTCTTGTTGTTATTCCCATTAGCATTCCGGAGCGTTAGGCCCTCCGCAGGCCATGTGAGAGGCAGAGACGCAGTTGAGGATGTGGATAGATCGGAAAACGAACGTGTTGGAGCCATGATACGAGTACCTGGTCGTGTCTTTTTGACGACTATCTCATCAGACAACGATGTTGAAGCCAGAACACTGCGAGGTTGCAGTGGGGATGAGGAGTAGGATGATGGCGAACCGGCAGCAAATGCTGAGGATTGTTGGAAATGACTAGGAATATTGACAGGTGACGAAGAACTAGCCTGATCTGCAGCTACAGTACTGCTTGGTCCAGCAAGCTGTAGTGTATTTTGATCTGGCTCCAGTCCAGTCTTTGTCTGTTGATTAACTTCATCCATATCTTTCTCCTGCTGTGTTTGTCGAGGCGACATTGGCTTTCGCTTCCTTTGTTGGATTCTCGCTCCTCGTTCCTCACGCTTCTTCTCCCTTTCTTTACGCCTTTCTAGAGCTGCTACTGCACGCTCTTCCAAGACGTTTGCAAACTCGAGTAGCAGTCTGTCGGTGATCAATAAACAGTTATCGAGCTCGATATGAGTCAACTTGGGACAGTAAGGGGATGGACTCTCAATATTCATCATCATGGCAGTTGCTGTAGACAGCGTAGTAGGATTAGATGCTGGTCGTAACAGATGCATGACTCCTTGGTCTGTCACATTCTCGCAATAAGAAAGACAAATCCGTTCAAGCCTGGGCAAGTTCAATGCAAATGCACGCAGTGAAGCATCAGTCAAGAGAGTTACATCTTCAAGGTCGAGAGACCGGAGGTGAGTGCAGCGCTGCGCGAGATAGATGAGTCCTTCATCGTTGAAGTTCTCACAACTTGAGATCTCGAGACGACGCAAATGACGGCTGCAGAGATGGCCGATGGCCCGGAGAGCTTCTTGTGTAAGGAGACGGCACTGAGACAGACCAAGGTAAACAAGTCGGGCCTGTAGTCCCTCAGGACCTGCCTGTGAGGAATTATTTTTTGAAGAGGAAGAAAGTGGTTGGATTGGAATAGCATTGGCATTATTGCTGCCAACCTCAGTCGCATCCTCTCCCGAGTCGCCTTCATCATTTTCATCCTCATTACCATCGATATCGCTTTCCTTATCAGAGTCTCCTTCCTTCTCAATATCATCACCCTCCTCATCCTCGCTGTCATCATCGTTACATGAACTTTGGTTGATAAGTAGGTGTCCCAAACTTGACACTCTCACAGACGAAGCCATCCGTTTCCTCATCCTCCATTTGCGATGCTTCTTGCTCGAAGTCACTGATAGCCCGGAGAGCAAGCCGATCAGGCCACGATCTGTTAACGAGGTGCATCCATTCAGACAGAGTTCCTTCATTTTAGGCATGTTCATACCAATAACGGGCATATATCGATCCTCCAATCCAGGGCATCCTGAAACATTGAGCTTTTGTAGCTCTTGACAGCTTCTAGTCAGCTTGATCAGTCCACTCCCAGAGATCTGTTTGCACCACGCCAAGTTTAGAATCTGGAGTGAGCGACAGTAGACCGCCAAGGTCTGGAGAGTGAAGTTATTGACAGACTGGAGGCCTGCGAGATCGAGATGAACGAGGAGGGGCAAGTTCGTACAAGCATCTGCAATGGCCTTGGAGGTGATAAGACGACACCCCGTGAGATTAAGACGCTCAATATTGGGGCAGCGCTCTGCAATGGTGGTCAAAGATTTATCAGAGAGCTGTACGCATCCACTAACGAATTTTGAATTTTGAATACTTGCGTTAGTTCTTTGTGATCAAGACTCATTTTAGGGGGGGGGGGAAGGGGGGAATGGGCATGAAGATTTCGCCACTTGAAAGTCGCAGTCAAAAAAATAAAAAGACATACCGGAAGTTTGCACAGCGCAAAAAGTTGGATGCGGCAGATCCCAATGCGCGGAGCTGATTATCCTTGATACTTTTGTAATATCTTGTTACATCAATTGTCTTCCAAAGAGACCCGTCCATAGCAATACCCCTCCATGCCCGACTGACCTAGAATGACGTGTAAATGATCATGTTTATTAGAGGTCTTTCATGTCAGTGCAATGGTAACATTAGGAGAGGATCAGAAGCAATAATAATGACAAAACGAAAAAAAAAAATCAAAAAATCAAAAAATTTTCATCGGTGCATAGAGTTTTTTTTTTACCCTTGAGACTCGGATTAGTTGGAATGTTGAAAGGTAGCGGAAGATATGGATCCTGATCTCTCTTGGTAGTACGTCAAAACTTGCTTTGTCAATACGTCGTTGATTATAACGATGATAGGCTCTGGCGATCCCTTTACCCTTATTTTGGCTTTGACTGCCAATGTGCTCCTCTGAAATTGAAGCGATTTGTTGTGATAAGGAAATGGAGGGTCCTCTCATGTTGCAAGAAGGTGATGTCCAAATAGTAGATGCGGAAGGAGAGTGGAATGCGGATGAGAAATCAGAACAAGACTCGGACGGAGAAGCAATGTGCATAGAGGATGCGGTCAAGTTGACCATGCTCTCAGAATTAATCTGGTTATTTTGATGGAAGAGATAAAATGCTTTTGAATTGTAGGGATTGAAAACTGGAGAGGATGGTTCTTCATCAGAAGAAGAGTAATAGTGTGAGGAGGAGGAGGAGGAAGAGGAGGAAGAAGAGAGTGAAGAGGGAGAGAACTCCTCGTCTGTTTGCAAGGAGCTTTTGAAGGTTGAGATGGAGAGTGTGGTCCCTTGTGACTGAGAAGAATCGCCTTGGTGGTGTTGCAATGGCTGTTCTTCCTGCTGTTGCTGGGCAAGGTGCTGAAAGAATTGTTGTTGTTGCAGTGAACTTAGTCCGGGAGAAATATGCCGCAAACCCTGGGATGAAAGGGAAAGTGAGACAAGCGAGGCCGTTGATGAGTTGACCCGTGCCCTTATGACTTGATGCTCATCCTGCTGTGAGGGCTTCTCAGTCGTGCAGAGAGCTGAAGGGAGAGGGAGACTGACAGCCGATTGAAGCACGAGGTTACAGCTGTAGGTATGATTCACATTATCACTAACATCAACACCTAGAGCTGATGAGCACGAGGTTTCAGCAATATTAATATTATCGCGGTCACTGCTTCTTTGACTACACCTCGTGGTCGTTTGTGTATCGTTCGAAGAGAGTGCTGCAGTTAATCCAAGGGGCGTAGGCGCAGGACTGATTGTTCTATATATTTGGTGGGAATGGGAAGGAGAAGCAGGAGAGGCGGAAGCAGAACACATGTTCGCTGATGATACCAGGCAAGATGTGGAAGCGGAAAAGAGGTAGGAGGGCGTTGGGGAGGAAATAGGGTGACAGGTAGATTCTGATGACAATAGCAAGGATGGTGAGGATGACATGGCCAAGCGGCTCAAGCGCCTGTTATTGTTGTCGGTGAGGGTGGGGGTCATCATTGTCGTTGTATCATTAGACGACATGGTAAGAGTAAAGGTTTGAGGGGTAAAGGGGGAGGGGTTCTTCTTGTTGAGAAAAAGACAAAGACAAAGAAGACGAAGAAAGGATTTGCTCGAGATCACACAAAGAATGGTTTAAGATGGCTTGATCCTCGTGGCTGGAACTCTGCGGGTTGCCGAAGTCCAATTTCTCAGAACCGCTTTGTCGATGTGGTTGGTGGTTTTTATCCCAAACTTGCTCCTGACCTGGCCGTTTAAAAGGACCCTGTCCATAAAATATTTGACTATGAGAGCAACCCACAAACTTTCTTGATTTTGAATAGGAGGGCTCAGATGTCTTAATAACAAGGATATCTACATCTGTATCTGCAATAATGTACTCCTCTCCTCGAGATGCTAATTCTGGATTTGCTTTAGCTGCCATTGCAGATTGACTAAGTTCAGGCGATCTAAAGCTGCAGTCAACAAGCTCATGTCCATCAGTGAGAGCATTGTTTCAATAGTGATTATTGTTGATATATATATATTACTATTGCTTACTTTGGGGTTAATTTCATCAATAGTATATGTTAACGAAATAAATCAACAACACGAAGAGTTGACCAAGGTCAAGAGTAATGTGGTCAAATGTGGACTTTAACTTGAGAGGCTCTCGTGTTGACTAGTGGCGCTAATTTGGCAATATGGTGAATCCCTAAATTGTTGGGAAAAGCGGTCCTGCCGCTTGGTACTGATGGTGGTCGAATGTGGTTATTCATAGTGATATCAAGTATATAGCGCGAACATTTGATTAGATGGATTAATGAATTATTATATCTTCAAACACTAGAGATGTAATTGCAGATATTCATCCTATACGAATGAGGCGTTTAAAGATTGATATAAAAAGATGAATACGTTGAAAGACAGATGAGATCCAGAAAAAAGAGTTTTCTATTTTCTATTTCTCCGGTAGTACAAAAAGTATTTTGGGGTGACAACGAATTCCCCTTTTTGATTTTTGGTTAATTCGCTCTACTCTAATTTTTATTTTTATTTTTGCTCAAAGTGCAAAAAGTGAGAAGGAAGGAAACGGAGAGCGAGCAAGGGAAATAAAGAAGAAGCAGGCCTAAGAGCCATTGTTGCTTATGGGTCATGGATCATTGACAATTAGCCATTAACCATTGAGCCATTATACTATGAATTAGTGTATTAATAAAAAAGAGCAAGGGGCGTTGTAAGATACAAGTCAAACACGCGGTTGTCTGGAATTTGCCACAGTTGTTCAATAATTGAGCCAACTAATAGACTGGATCAATTCTAAATTGCACGAAGAAACCAAACAACAAACAAATAGATCCATTTTCTCCTCATTAAATTAGCAAAAGATCACCGATACTCTACAAAGGTGCAGATACTCCTCTTTCCTTTTCCCTCCGACTGCAAGGCTTTGATTCTGTACCATCCTTCAGAAGCCATCCTTGGCACCTGGGTGTTACTTCCATTGTAATCTTGCATAGCACTGACCCACTTCCTTTCTACTCCTGACACGATCAGTTTATATTGAAATATGCCAATGAAATGGATTAGGCTGCAGCCCATAAAGTAATGTATGACAAGGAAAAGAGTTGGAGGTTTATTATTTTCACAAGAATGTTACTGCCACTTCATAATCCTGGCTATCTAAATGATATGCATAAAAAAAAAGGGCAAACAGGCGGTCAACGCCGCTTTATGTACCGCTGCTTTCTTATGGGATCTGGCGATCTAGCCTTCATGGCGGAGTAAAAATACTTAATTATCAAATGCACTTCGATAGGATTGGTTGACAGTTTACGGAGCACGAAGAAAGTTTGAAGACAGAGCACACTTTCTGCACCAGAGCCGAGCATTTTTGCCGCGCAAATAAACAAAAAATAATGCAGTAAATGCAGTGATCATTGTTACTGCATGGCATGGCATGCATTGCATACTTTATTTTAAAAAAAGACGCTCCTTACAGATTTGGTGATTCTGGAAAATTTTTATAAAGTATATACTTGATCTTCTTTCTCTTTTCAATAATTCTGGACAAGATCATTTGTTGTCAGTGCGGGGACCCACGGTCATACAGCATTTGGGCTATTGCTTCATGTTGGAACTTCGCTCTCTGACGGCAGGATACCATGATATATACTTTCCGTTTTGAGTGGACTGTTAAAGAGAGCGCCCAAATCAATGGAGGAGAATAAAACAGAGAGCAATGTCGGAATACACATTTAGTATGACTGAGTCAAAACAATCATTTTATTGTCTACTTGTCTACTTATTCCTTCACATTGGAGCCTGAAAATATACGGTCAGGGCTGTCTAGTCCCAATCTTCCATTAATAAGCTGACTCAGATAGTGCATTTCTGTATATTTAGTTAAAAATCTTACTGTTGGATTTATATCCATCTTCCATCTGCACAGAACATAACAGAGAAACGAGGTTAGATTGGAGAGAGGCTGCGTTACAAGTACAGATCTTGAGATTGGTAGCTCTCAAGAACGTCCAAAGTTCGATTGTGTAGAACCAGTTGAGTGTTTGACGTTTATTATGTCCTGGCTGGCTGAGAGCTATGGGATTAAGAACCCGTTATACGCAGCCTTTTTTTTTTTTTTTTTTTTTTTTTTTGTTTTGCAAAATACTAATAAAGAAAAAATACACATGACATTGAGTATTTGGGTGGAACACTACACTACTCATATGATCCCCCGCAATCAACTACTCCACTACAACAAAATGTTTGGACACACACGGAATCGTATTTCAGAATCTGCAGCATCAGATCGTGTGCTGAATTTGACATGAGTTCGGCAGCAGATAGAAAATTGGAAATGTATGCATGCAACGTTAACAGTCTCACTGCAGACATGTTATTCGTTTACCTATTAATTATAACTATGCTGGAATGTTGTGATAGACCTCGCTACAACTTGTAGTTCTGTACTATTAAGGTCATAGCTTTGTACCTTTTCTTTTTTCGTCATGAACAATCAATAAGATGTCGTTAACATTTATATGAGTATATGAGTAACTATATGGTCTTTCATTAGACCCTTCAAAATTAGCACTTCGTCTGTGCGTTATCGGACTTGCAGTAAAGTAAGCCGGATTTAAAGACTCATAAGTTGAATGAAAATACTAATAATATCAAAATTAACCTTTTACTGCCCGAGCATGAGTGCACATATGCCTCGCGCACTCGCATAAGCTGCTCAAGCGTAGTAGCGGAAAGGGAGGTGGGGTAGAAGTGAAGCTGCTATAGGGATTGTCATCTAGAAGGCACAAACAAAATCAGGTATTACTTTCTCTGGAATAGCACGGAAATCGAAGCAGATGAAGAAGGCTTATGTGGCTTACAAACAGTAATATCGATTGAAAACTAGAGGTGACCTTTTTTGCTTACATGCTATGCTCGTCTCGCAGTATCACACTATTGAACCTGGGAAGATCAACCTTATCATGGTTACAAGGATGGATATGAAAGAGTCGGACGAGAGACGTTCAATAGTGATTAGAAGAAAGCTTATGTGTGTACGCATTTCCCTCGTTCATTGTGTAAAGCATGGAGAAGAACCAGATTCAAGCTAACAAGCCACCAAGGGATCTTGAGAGCATGGTGCGTTATCTGGCAAACATTTATGGCAATATCTGGCACCTCAAGATCAAAAATCTAAAAGAGACTCAAAAGGGAATTGTTGACATTGGTCTCAAGGTCCTACTACATGTGATAGATGTAGTAGATGGGAATAAGTCTTAGATAATTTGTATATAGCCTTGCTATAGGACTTGGGTCATTCAAGAATAAGGATCGGGCTTTCTAGCAAGCACTCCATCTTTCTGAAGCCTCTCATTGTTAAGGCGAGTCTCCTGAGACCCTAATCGGTATTCCGTGCTTATCGCCATGAAAGCATGAACTAGGCAAAGTCCCTTGGTTATCGGATCGTTGGCTATTGGGTCGTTGGCTGGCGGAGTTTTGTCAGTACGTTGGTGCTTCAGGCTTGGCATCTAACCAAAGAAAGGTCAGAAGTACTTAAAAGATGCCATGTCCCTGCTGCGCATGAATATAAGGTATATACATAAGAAACAGAGATTGTTAGTCTACATTAGTGCACGCACCAACTAGGCTACAGGGGATCCAAGAATGGAAAAAAACAGCCAGTTGCGCTATATGGTATAGTTTGGAATCCTGCCCCACTTTAATCACGTATAAAGTCACATGTCAGAATTTCCTTTTTGTCTTGAGCAGAAATGTATTTTTGCCCGCAAAATGCGGAGGATGGAGACCGATCAGAAAAATATCTGGGTGTACAGTTGTCGAACCGGAGCAGTGAGAGAAAAAATTCAACGAGTGGGCACTCGGAGCAAATTGACTTGTTCCGGTTCATTTTTAAAGTTTAGAAAAGCATCGCTCTCTCGCTTAATCCACGGAGAACAAACCAGAAACCTCTGCTGGAAAAAGGAAAAAAATAAAACTAGTTCGTCTTCGGAAAACTGTACGACAACGAGACAAGGACAGGCACACTTTATTAAAGGAAGACACCGAGCTTCGGTTTCTCTTTCTTTTCTTCTTTTCTTCTTTTTTCTTCTTGTTCATTCACCCACACCCTCATACATACACTCACGAATCATCATGTCTTCTATCCTTACTACATCCAACGGCAACCCCGTTGAGGACAACCAGAACTCCATCACTGCTGGTCAATTCGGCCCAATGTAAGTACTTCACACCTCTCCACCTTTCCTTCATTGCAGTTATCCCATTCACTCCAGGGATTTTACCGTGTCTTCTGGACAGCGAAAATGTTGTTGTAGAGAAATTTGGGGTTTTGTTCCGGAAGCACTGCGGAGAACAATTGAGGCACCATGTGCTTGAAATGTGCAACTCATTGTCCCACAGGCTGTGAAATGGGTTATGCATCTTCAAAAATCTTTGCACTGTCTCTTTACACTGTCTTGTTTGGTTCAGTGTACATAAAAAAAAAGACATGAAACATTCCTCACTTCTGATCCCTGAAATGAAATATGAATGGTTCTGTATGAAATTCTAACACAAATTCTATTCTTTCTATTGAAACCATGATCTGTTTTAAAGTCTTCTCCAGGATTTCGCTCTTATTGACAAGTTGTCCCACTTTGACCGTGAGCGTATTCCCGAGCGTGTTGTCCACGCCAAGGGTGCTGGTGCCCATGGTTACTTCGAGGTTACTCACGACATCACCAAGTATACCAAGGCCAAGTTCTTGAACCGCATCGGCAAGCGCACCCCTCTCTTCACTCGCTTCTCTACTGTCGGAGGTGAGAAGGGTTCTGCTGATACGGCTCGTGACCCTCGTGGTTTCGCCGTCAAGTTCTATACCGAGGAGGGTAACTGGGATATGGTCGGAAACAACACCCCCGTCTTCTTCATGTAAGTAGCCATGTGACATGTCAATCCAAAATAGCTGTGGTCTGCTAAAGATACAAACAAAAATTTTGTAGGCGACCGAATCGGGAAGAAGAGCTGCAATTTCAGGACTGAAAAAAAATCGTTGCCACACCACCCAACAGCAGACAAAAACAAATCACATGTCACCACGGAATATTTCCAAACACAAAAAAATAAGTTTTGTACTGACTAAAGTATACATGGTTCATGGATCTCTTTTACAATAGTCGTGACCCCATCAAGTTCCCTGATTTCATCCACACCCAGAAGCGTAACCCCCAGACTAACTGCGGAGATCCTGATGCCTTCTGGGACTTCATCTCACTCGTCCCCGAGACTCTTCACCAGGTCACCATTCTCTTCTCCAACCGCGGTACCCCTGATGGCTACCGCCACATGCACGGCTTCTCTTCTCACACCTTGAAGCTTGTTAACGAGGCTGGTGAGGCTCACTTTGTCAAGTGGCACTTCAAGTGCGACCAGGGTATCAAGAACCTCAAGGCCTCTGAGGCTGCCAAGCTTGCCTCTGAGGCCCCTGACTATGCCACTGCCGATCTCTTCAACGCCATTGCCAAGGGTGACTTCCCTTCATGGACTGTTCATATCCAGGTCATGACTGTGAAGGAGGCTGCCACTTACCGCTGGAACCCCTTCGATGTCACCAAGGTCTGGTCTCAGAAGGATTATCCCTTGATCCCCGTTGGAAAGATGGTTCTCAACCGCAACCCCGACAATTACTTTGCCGAGGTTGAGCAAGCTGCCTTCTCGCCCTCGCACATGGTTCCCGGTATTGAGGCCTCGACCGACCGTATGTTGCAGGGTCGTCTCTTCTCTTACCCCGATACCCATCGCCACCGTCTCGGCACCAACTACCAGCAGATCCCCATTAACGTTGCTTACAATGCTCGCATTAACAACCAGCAGCGTGATGGCTTCATGGCCGTCAACGGCAACGGTGGCGCTGCCCCCAACTATGAGCCCAACTCCTTCGGAGGTGCCAAGCAGAGCGGTGTCGCAAACACCTACTCTAGCTTCGAGGTTAACGCTATTGCTGCCCGCCATTATATCCAGCTCTCAGATGAGGACTTTGTCCAGCCTGGTGACTTGTACCGTCTTTTGAGCGCCGAGGAGAAGTCTGACTTGGTTGACAACATGGCCGGTCACTTGAAGAATGCCAAGCCCTTCCTTCAGGAACGCCAAGTTCAACATATTAAGCGTGCCGATAAGGAGTGGGGTGCTCGTGTTGAAGCCAAGCTTAAGGCTCTTCAGTCCAAGGCTTAAATATCCTATTGTTTATTGCTTTTTTTTTTTTTACCTCTTTGCAACTTTTTTGTCCATATAACCATTCTTAACTCACCTCATAGTAAATAAATATAAAAACACAGTGTTGTAAAAATTATAAGAGTAAGATTGATCTTATCCGAAGAGTGATTATTGTTAATAGAGACATGAGGCATGGATGGTTCTACTCGTAGTCTGCTGCGGCCATGTATCTACCCTGTGACTAAATACAATTATTTACGCAATGTTATTGATCGACAGCTCCTCGGAAATACAAAGCCACCAGTCAATGGAGGCGCTGAGGAAAAAGTTACTCCCCCCGCTTTTTACAAGAAAGCTTAAAATTTTTTTCTTGTAATATTTCAGAAATTTAAGGGCGAGTAAGCTGATTGGCCACACAAGTAATCAAAGGCTCTGAATACTGATTAGAAAAGAAATGTTGCCAATGTTTTTGTTTTCGTTTTGGCAAACTTCTGAAGAAGCCAGTTCACAGATTGGTATTGTATTCGAAATGTCAGCTCTTCTAACGAAGATACATCAGTTTTCAGTAAAATGACCTGTTAAGGGATACCAGATGATAACCATACTCAACGTACATACTTTATTCAGAGTGGCCACAATCATGCCAAAAAAGACAAAAAGAAAAAAATTCGGCGCATGACTTTTGCATTTTTACCCTTGAATTAATGGTCTTTCCCAAATATCTTCCAATGAAATTTGTAATTTGTTGCGCTTTTTAAAACTTCTATTCTCTGTTCTCTCTGTTCTCCTTTTTTCACCTTGCCACATTTTCATCCCTACCAGACCTGATTCCATCACCTCCATCACACATTTACCAGTTGAATAGGATCGATTCAGCCCTAATTCTTGATCAACCTACTCACTTTTTTTTCCTTTCAATCCACATAAAAAAATACCCTTGCGCCTTTGTGCGAGTATATGCCTCCCTTGATATCCAATGAAAAAATCTGATCCTTCTAGTAGTAGTTTTAATACACACCTCTCCACTTCTCGACGAGCAGCTGCCGGAAACCACGTCAACTTCCTCGTCATTTTCCTAACTGAATTCTACTCGACTTCTTGCTTGGATGATCCCTAATTTGAGCACTTGAACATTCTTTCACGTTCCCTTTTTCCCTTTTATTCCACTTTTTTTTTATCGTTGAATTTTTTTTTCCCTTTTTTTTTTTTCTTGACACAGAATAATATTTCTGGGTTTCACTATAAGGCAAGTTCGAATGACGAGATTGATTTGTAGAAACATCTAGAGAATGAATTGGAACACCGCTTTATCTCCACATTCTACACCCCATCATCCTTACTACAAAATCTTCTCGATATATAATGAAGACTATTCTGCAAAACCACTTGTTTAGTCATTACTTCATCCTCAATACTTGAGCCTTCACAATTAATACTTTGCAGCAATGCTAACATCCAAAGCTCATTTACTTTTTTTGGACCACATAAAATATAATATAGTTTTTTTTTATTTTTAATTTTTTCATTTATCCTATCGGACACTCTTCACTTTATTACACCCACACAACAAACAGCAGCGACAGACATTCATAGAAAACAGACAGATAAAATGAGCACTATCTCTGCCAACGCTCAGCACGCTCCCGTCAGCATGTTCCGCTCTGTTTCAACAGACTCATCCTCATCATCGATGGCTATCAACCCTTCTACAGCCGCCCGACTCCAGCGATTGCCTACACCCCCCCGCAGTCCAGGTTTGGCCCCTTTAGGCAGACAGCTGACACTGATCGAACCTCCGATGACTAGGGGCATTCGTTTTTTGATCCTCGATTGCCCTACCGACTCAACCCTTCCCTTCTACTTGAGCGAGCTGAAGCGCAACAACGTTACTGACGTTGTCCGCTGCTGCGAGCCTACATACCGTGCAGAGACACTTCAGAACGAGGGCATCACTGTCCATGACTGGCCTTTCCGTGATGGAGCTGTGGTAAGTGTTATGTTAATAACGACATGATCATATTACAAAAGTGAGAAGAAAAGAAAAAAAAATCAAGCGCTTGTGACCTTATCGGATAAGGATGCAGAATAATTAGCAATTAAAGAGATGAGCAAATGAAGACATACAGGATTCATTAACATGGATAAATGAGTAGAAAAAACTGGAGAGAATATTATAGCATAAGCGCAAGCCAGGAGGATAGGGGTGGGCACAATTTTTTTTTTTTTTTTTTTTTTTTTTTTTTAATATTTATCATCAACGCTATGATCAGGAACAAAATGGAGAGTACCCAGGAGTATGGAATTAGAAAAGATATGACAGGCCTTGGAATACTTTTTCAAATTGACACAATTGATCATGAACCCTTTGTTATTTTCCCTCCGTACTACAATGTTTCTCACATCTGTCATTGATCTGTGCGCTTATGAAAATACTTTGCAGCCAGCGACGCACATGATTGGTGGAAACAGTAAATGAGACAAATGGGGACTTTAATGGAGATGGAGACTGCGCTTACATAATTCATTGACAGCAATAACTAATTTTATTTTTTATTTTTTCCTCTTTGTTCATGATAGCCTCCAACTAATATCATCAAGAACTGGTTGCAGTTAGTAGACAGCCGCATTATTAGGCGTCGTAGTCCTTCACCCTCTGCCAGCGAGGAGGAAGAGGATGCCTCTGCTCCTGCTCCTCCAACCATTGCTGTTCACTGCGTTGCAGGACTTGGACGTGCGCCTATTTTAGTAGCCATTGCCATGATTGAATTGGGTATGGCAAACCTGGATACAGTGGAATTTATTCGCCGTCGTCGTCGAGGTTGCTTTAACAGCAACCAAATCCAATACATTGATGGATACAAGCGAGGAAAGATTCTGAAGCATGCGCTTGGCAGCGGTTCAGGAAGCAACGGCTCGGGTTCAGGTAACGGCTCGGGAGCTAGTGGACTGAAGAGCGGACTGAGCAAGATGTTCCGGCTCAAGGCTTGACTCTGCGTAGTTAAATCCTTGGCCAAGATATACTGGATGAGCGAACAGGGGGCAAGGAAAAAGGGGCGAGTTAGTATGGTGTACAAGACTATGGGGTATGAGCAATCAAAGAAGCAGCAAATAAAGACGAGAAAATTATTAATGACGAGGAGCAGAAAAATATCAGTACCAGGATCAGGAATGTTGAAGATAAACCATAGATGTTTTGCGGGGACAAATGCTTTCGATCGGATTGGAATGGAGGTCATGAGATTGGTGGCAACTACGGATGAAGAAAAGGCAGTTCGGCAAGATCATAATCATTATCGACGGCGACTCTGTCAACAGGTTCGAGCTAACGAAATGCCAATGATCCGAAAGGAAGCCATTTGTGACCGAGGCCGAGGAGTAGGAGTCTTTCTATTGACACATGGCTATTATTAAACAGGCATTTAGTTTAGCTTTTTTATTTTTTTTTTTTTGTTACTGATTATGGTGCTTATAGGATTAAAAAAAAAAAAAAAAAAAAAAAAAAAGATGATGAGTTGGAACTTTATGCATTTTCTGTTAAAGCATTAAAGCATCCACAAAAATATTCGACAAAATGATAGCTAGCGTTTTACTTTAGGTTATCTTGATCAACACCATCTGTAACCACTTTTCACTTCGGCTTTCATTGCTGCGGAGTTGATACAGATGCAGCAACCTTTCCTGTATTGTACTGTTTATCAATGGCATGAGATGACACAATTTTGAATAACCAATGTATTCCGTTCATGTCAGTCGGTAGAAATAACAAGAGCATGCAAACGCCGCGCGTAATGCAGAGAAAAAAGAAAAAGAAGGAAAAAAAAAAAAAAAAAACTGTTGGTTTGTAATCAAAACCAAAGTTGGACAAGTTTGTTCGTTTGTTATGTGGTTGCGTGATTGTGGGAAGAGGACTCGTCATCACTTTAATCTTTTTTAGCATGGAAAGCCAATCCTCATGGACAGTTTTGTTTAATTGGGTGTAGAATGTAGTACAGAAGACACAAAAATGGGCGTTTTGTGTCTTATCACACACCATTTCAAGCAAGTCCTGTCAACATTCCCCACAGTTAGTCAATTAGTGGTTTTTTTTTTTTAGTACCGATCGCCTCTTGACTCTTGAGGATGAGATTGACATAAAAGATAAACAGTGTTTCTCTCTTGCACTTTTCTTTCTTTTTCTGTCTCCTCTCTCTCTCCTCCTCCTTCGAAGACCGAACTCTCTTCCCCCACCAACAATTCATCTATATCGTACCGTGCCCTTTGTTTCTTCTCCTTTCTTACTTTTTTTTGTTTTACTAATTTTTCTTAATATTTTCTAAACATTCAGTACAAAAAGAAAGTCTTCATACACATTCTTGAACAGTGCCTTATTATTACCCAGTAATATCTAATAAGTGATAATATCCACTATGGCGGATACGGTGCCTGGTCATGAGCGGACACAATGGCAACAACAAGAGAGGACAACACAAATCCTCGAGGATTTTCCTCACCATAACTTGCCACACTTTACGGTAAAAAAATAAAATAAAATAAAAGCTGAAATTTGGAGTTTTTATTTTTTTATTTTTTTTAGGTTACTCTTCCATCTTTGCATCTTATTCTTATTCTACATCTCTAAATCCCTCTTGTTTTTCCTTCATGTCAACATCTAGTGGCGTTCCGTTATAGTTGGTATCCTGATTGGGACCCTACTATGTTTCACCAATATGTATTTTGGACTCCAAACTGGATGGATCAGTATGATGTCGTTACAATCCTCTCTTTTGGGATTTGCGCTATTCAAGGGTGCTAAACGGTATCTGAAAGTACCTTTTGGTCCTGCAGAGAACATTGTCCTCCAGTCGGTGGCTGTGGCTACTGGTACGATGCCCTTAGCGGCTGGATTTGTGGGCATCATCCCAGCACTACAGATGATGACTACAGCAGACAACCCTCCAACAGCCAACCATCCTGGAGGCGGCTATTATCTCTCGACAGGAAATATGATCCTTTGGAGTCTGGCCATCGCGTTCTTTGGAGTGTTCATTGCTGTCCCTTTGAGGCGACAGGTTATAGTCAAGGAGAAGCTACCTTTTCCCTCAGGAACTGCCACAGCTCAAATGATTGGTGTCCTGCATAACACGCCCTTGGTTGTCCGTGCACCCCTTCGCCGCCACCACAATACCTCTACCCTTGAAGAGACATCAAATTCATCCTATCCAGATGCTCAGGGCATTCGTAGGCGCAATGTCTATACAGAGAAGAAGGAAGGCGATGAAGAAAAAGGATTGGATAATATCAAGGACTCTAATTCTGGATCGATTGATCAACCTTTGGACCATAACATCCCAGGTGCTCAACAACCATTGGGCCAAGTGGCCCCTGTTGATTATGGTGCCAAGGATATTTACAGCGATAGCAATGATGATGCAGAGGTTGTGGAGATCAAGGGTGAAAATGGTGAACATTTTAGTCTGAGTCGAAATTTCTTGCAGGAGGATAATTGGCGCATCAACATGATTGCATTAGGTCTATCTTTTGGCGCATCAGCTCTGTATACATTGTTGTCCTACTTTTTCCCTGTGGTTGCAACAGTCCCTATCTTTGACTGGCTTTCTGGTATGACAGTATCAGTCGCTAGTACGTGGCAATGGTTCTTGACTCCTTCACTTAGTTATGTAGGGCAAGGCGTCATCATGGGATTCCCTACGACTGCATCTATGCTATTCGGCTGTATTGTTGGTTGGGCTATTCTATCTCCGATTGTGACGAACAAGAAGTGGGTGACTGGACCTGTAGGAAGCTCTACCACAGGTGCTCGTGGTTGGATTCTTTGGATTTCTCTTGGTGTTATGATCGCAGAAGCCGTAGTTTCGTTGTTGGGAGTCATTGTCCTCTCATTGATTGTCCATTATCGCCGCAGAGTACGTGAGAAGCGCCGCGCGGAGCGCAGGGCAGCCCTAGAGGCTTCGGCTTCTCAAACTGGGGCTGAGATTGAAGCCTTTAGTGAACTGGATGCTGAAGAAGACCTTGAGGAAGAAGATGCTCCTATTGATCAGCTGGTTCCGCTCAAGGTTTGGGTGTGTGGCCTGCTGTTGTCAACAGCTCTCTGCCTGCTGTTGATCTGGATCGTCTTTAAGGATCAACACATGCCTGTCTATGCAACATTGTTGGCGGTCGTGCTTGGATGTATCCTTTCAGTTCTGGGTGTTCGTGCACTAGGATCAACAGACCTTAATCCTGTCAGCGGTATCGGCAAGGTCTCACAGTTTGTTTTTGCAGGTGTTGTCCCTGGAGGTATCGTAGCTAACCTGATTGCAGGCGGTATTGCAGAGGCTGGAGCTCAGCAGGCTGGCGATTTGATGCAGGATCTTAAAACAGGACACCTTTTGGATGCCTCACCCAAAGCACAGTTTTATGCACAATTGATCGGGTCTCTTGCGTCGGTATTCATTTCCACAGGTGTATACAGGCTGTACTCGAGTGCGTATGAGCTCCCAGGACCTCAATTTGCGGTCCCGACTGCGAAAGTTTGGCTTGATCTTGCTCGTTTAGTGAATGGGCATTCGTTGCCATATAACACGGGTCCCTTTATCTGGGGATTCGCTGCTTTCTTTGCGGTCTTGACATTGGTCTCAGTCATCTTCTCAGATGTAGCCATCTTACGATCTCGAAAAACAAACGGGTCCGCACAAGGCCGGCCACGATGGATAGGATGGATCCCCTCAGGAATTGCGTTTGCAATTGGCATGTACAACCTACCAAATTTTACGTTGGCTCGTTTTGTAGGCGGTGTAGTATCACTCTGGTGGGACTGGCATTGTAAGAAGTATGCGGGTCATCCGAAAGCCAAGTATGCCAAACTGGGCCGAGTGTTTTTGATCATTATCGCATCAGGCTTCGTATTGGGTGAAGGAACGTTTTCGATCATAAACTTGATCCTTAAGACGGCAGGAGTGCATTCGGCATCATGCGTTGGATGTTATGCTGGAGCATGTAGCTGTAACTAAGGCTTTAATGTCAACACAACATAGTACAATACAGCACAATTAATAAAACTTTGCCTTGTTAACGGCTTTTCATATATGAGTTTTAAACCCGCTTTTGCGTGCTGACTCCTCCATGTCATTGCTAGGAAAAATCGTATCTCCATTTAAAAACGCATCTATTCTCGCATCTGCCCTACTCTGCAGATTGGATACTATCCACAACTCTTATTTCTATTGGAACGCGTTCAAAGACTCTTTTTTTTTTTTTTTTTTTTTTTTTCAATGAGCATTAAATTGAATTGAGAGGCGTTGTATCAATCACATGAATAGCTTTTGCTAATGTTGATAGAAGGACGGTATGAAAATATTACATTTAAACAGCTGTAGAAAGGGCATATAGCACTAATTCTGCTATTATACGAAGATGTGATGTAGGATTAAGGCAATAGACAAGATCAAAGAATTGATTGCTTAGAACCTTGGTGAACAGAGTTGAACCTCAATGCCCTCTTTAGATGACGTGCCTGGGCAAACATGAACATTAATACGCGTGATTCTGTAAAAAGTAAGAACACCCTTATTCATTTTCACAGAAGGGAAAGAAGCATTCTATATATTTATTTACATGTCAACTGTAGAACCGATATTCTTTGCTTCTGCATAGTCTAGCACTAAAGAAGTGATGGCGACATCCTGTGCAGCAATGCCTACACTCTTAAAGATCGATACATCTTTGGAATACTCTCTATTCGGATCGGCCGTTGGTGATGACGTCAATGTGCTGAATTCTTTTGGGAAAGTTGCTTTGTTCAATTGTCCATCCTTTCCAAATATCTCTCCCAGTTCTGTTAAAACTCCATTCTGTCCTGTCAATTTCTTTGCCAGGATCAATTCTCCGGCCTCATGCTCACACTCTGCTTGTGCATCGACCAGGACATGAGCTCTTTTAATCAAAGTCTGATCCACTTCGTGCATCTCTGGCTTGAATGATCCGACCATATTGATATGTGTTCCAGGTGTGACCCATTCTCCTGGGAATAAAGCCTCTGTGCTATTAGTGCATGTGCAGATAACGTGGGCGTTCTGAATGATCTTCTTGAATTCATCTTCTTTAGATTGTTGCTGATGCTGTTGTTGTTGTTGTTGTTGTTCAGGTCCAGTTGTAGAAGATTCACCTGTGCTGATACTGAATGCAATCATCTTCACATCTCCGTCAAGATACTGAGGCTGAAGTTCTTTGATCAATTCGAGAGCGCGTGGGAGTGTACGGTTGCAGACAATGACGTTATGAATCTGGGGTAAGACATGGATGAGCAACTGGATGTGCGCCTTGGCTTGAGCTCCTGCTCCGAAGACAACGAGTGTGAGGTTTCTATTGTTATTCCTGTTGTTATTATGAAAAATAGCTCGTGTCGCCAGAGCTGACCCTGCGGCGGTCCTGACTGCTGTGAGAAGACGTGCATTAATGAGGCCTCGGGGCTCACCAGTGTCATTGTTGAGGACGAGGGTGACACCTGGAAGACCATTCTTGGTATCTTTCTTTGGGACAGAGACGACTTTAATGACTGAAGTTTGAGTATTGATGCGTGAAGGCATGATGAGCGTTGTATGAGCATCAGTATTAAGAGTGGATCTCTGAGGTGTCTGAGTTTGCTTTGCTCTAAGACATTTTTTTTTTTTTTTTTTTTGATAAAGACATGTAGAAGAAAGGTGAGTAGGAATAACTCTGATCGACCGATCGATTTAATGAAGATGAAAAAAGAAACTCACGTATAAGCGTTGAAAGCCTTTGCTTGACTGACAAGGATATTTTCAATATCTATCTCTTGGAGAATGGTAGCAACTTGCTCCAAAGAGACGACACGAACTTGTGGCATGGCTTGTCAGCGAAAAATAGGGGGAAAAAAATAAAATGATGAGAAGAAAGAAACAAAAAACAATGTTAAAAAGGAGAGACGTCTGAAGTAGCCGGGGATACCGTCTAATTTTTAATGCCAGCCAAATTGCCCGACTTTGATGGGCATGGCTCAATCATCACGGGAGCGTTCCTGCCAACCTACATCCGCCGCCCCAAGCGCAGTCGTGAAGTATCACAATTACAAATAAAAAATGCCACAACAATAATAGGAATGATGTCGCTTAATAAGGCCTTATGAATCTGTTAATCATTTATTCCTCCATTCCTTCATTCCTTCATTCTTTAACATTTTACAGGTCATTCCAGTAGAAACAATGGACACTGACAGTGTTTCTCAGAAAGAGGTCTTGAGTACCAAGGATGGTCTCCACTTCAGTCTAAGATCTATTCCCTTCTCGCACTACAACGAGAAAGCAAGATGGGCCTTGGACTACTTTCAAATCCCTTACGTCGAGTATCGGTCTTTGCCTATGTGTCATATGATCTCCATGTTCAAGTACAGGGCAAAGGGAGCACCTTGGGTTGCCGAAGGAAGTCCCTTTGTCACCCCATTTTTGATGGTAACCCCAACTACGGCTGCAGCAGGAAAGAAATTAGAGGCAAAGGAATGTATCACATTTAATGACTCAACTGCCATCATGAGCTTCCTCTCTGACCAATATGGGGCCCCTGCCGGCGACAGCAAGTCCGCTCCTACTAGCCTCTACTCGAACAACGAAGAGACTAAAGCGAAGATCTTGGCACTTGAAGACCGATTTGACAAAATGATTGGGCCACATGTCAGACGATATGTATATTATGAAGCATTGATCAAGTCACCTAAAAAGGTTGGCCGAGCACTTGGCCATCACGACAATGCTGGCAAGCTTCAGTCATGGATCTGGAGTTTATTTTTCCCATTGATCTCCTATATCTTAATTAAACTGTTTCATGTCAACGATGCCTCTGCAGCGCGATCCAAGGATATCATCCGACGTGAATTTGAACACATCTCGCGTGTTCTTGAGTCTGGCCCACCAGGTCCAGCATATCTGATTGGCAATCAATTCACAGCAGCTGATCTAACGTTGGCGAGTTTGGCCGCAATGGTCGTTGGGGTATTGCAAGAAGATGGTTATGGAGCATGGGTGCCCCCGGTCACAGAGTGGACGCCTGAGGCTCAGTCGTTCTGCCAGGAACTACGAAAGACAACGGCGGGTAAGCATGTCGTAGAGTGCTATAAACTCCATCGCGGACAAAAGGCGCCTGGATCCAGCTACGGATTTAATTTTTTCGGATTGTGGTAACTCTTCACCGTTATGTCACAAACTAGATAAGATGGATTTTAAAAATAAAAATGACGAATGCTCATTTGCTGTGCATCAACAGAAAGGGCGTTCTCTCTCTCTCCACAGACACACATCATTCTATGCGTACATCCTGTAATTGCAACATCGTTCTCGGTCTTTGATTTTTTTTTTTTGGCATTGGTCTCATTATATTTTCTACTCCCTCTCTCTTTTTTGTTTTTTCAGTCATTTCACCATCCACATTTACTTACAAACATTTGCACATATTATACACCATCTCTTTACTTCTAACTATCATATAATCGAACGACTCTTTGCGACTCTTTGCGATTCTTTTTTTTTTTTTTTGCTTTTCTTTTCCTTCCTTCCCTTTTCGGTGAACAATGACGACTACCACTCAGGTATTCATTCATAAAGCAACAAAGGACATCACTCCAGCCCTTGGAAAGAAAAAGTAAAATCATTGATGCAACAGGCTGCTGAGCACAGAAGAAACCACATGAGAAAGCAATCAACGCAGCCAAGATTCAAATACCATCTGTAAAGAGCGTACAACAACGACAATGTGGTGCAGTGCAGGTCAAAAATAAAAACTAAAATAAAAAAACAATCATGTTGGACAGTTGACCTTGAAGAGTACAGCCTTTCTTTTTTCCAACAACACAGCCATCATTGTCACCCAATTCAACTCTCGTATTCAGTAAAAAGCTCCCTACTGCTGTCTGCGCGGTAGGAGTTGGACCCTACAAGGACAATCGCATCTAATACCACTGTTTTATTTTCATACAACTTTATTTTCTGCCTTCACAGTTCACTGATACGCCTGTCCTGTCAGGAGAAGGTCATGGTATCACCCATAGGACGGACACTACTCCAGTAACAATGTCTTTTGCAACAGATCCACAACACCGACATTCACAACAAATGCCCAATTCGCCAGCATCACCGACGCGACCATATCCAATAATAACTAGATCTTCTGATGTTCAACATCCACAGCAATCACAATCCATCGCACAAGCAGGCATTGTTTCTCCTGGAGTCACGTTTGCAGACGATCACTGTGAGCAGTATGACTCAGACATGGAGGCAGAACTGGATATGGATCAGTCACAAGAGACCTTACACGAAGGCCAGATTCTCAAGTCTGGATATCTTATTAAAAAAGGCGAACGTATCAAGGTAAAAATAAGGAAGAGTGCAAAGCCCCCCTTCAAAAAAATCATGTACCAACGTTTTCGATCACTTTATACGACAATTACAAAGCCCTGTGTGAATGCTGTGTGTTTATAAGAGTTGTTTGCTAAGCTCAGCATCAGCTCAGCATCAGCTCAGCATCAGCTCAGCCCAGATATATTTTTTTTTTTTTCCTGCATTTTATTTGTTTTTTCCTTCATTGCCTTTCGCTACTTTCACTGTTGTTATTGCATATGAACGGGTTATGATAAAAGACTGGATTGGACGGGGTCCTTCTTTCACAAGAATAGGCCTTAATGGTCCATATTAGAGCTTAGGAGTGACATGCTCTCTTCATGATTGAACTTATTTATACCAATTGTGTGAGCATCGGAGCATTGACATTGTTGCATATGGTAGAATGAACCACTGAGCCGATCATTGGTCAGTCAGTCCTAGTCCCTGCAGCTCTGTAATCTAGAAAGCGCAAGGGTACTTTTATTATTTTCTTCTTCCACACTAATAAGCTTCGTGTGATTTTATAATGATGGCGCTAAATCAATGAGATTCAAGCCATGATTAGTACTAGCGTATTTTATTAATGTTGCTCAACTTTTTTTTTTTTTTTTTTCTTTTTTTCTTTTTTTCACATGCTTGGTCCTTAATAGATTTGGAAGAAGAAATGGTTCGTACTTCGAACCTCAAAGCTTGCATACTACAAGGACAGTAAGGAGTATGTGCTCCTTAGAATTATCGACATCAGGGACATTCACAAGGCAGCAGAGGTGATGGTCAAGAACAAAACGGGTGTCTTTGTGATCCTCACACCCAAACGCACGTTCACTGTACAGGCCGATAGTGTGGCTGAAATGGAGGAGTGGATTCAGGCAATCAATCAGGCTAAGATGCAATACGACTTGACATCAAGCTCAGATATTGAACTTTCGCATCCGGGATCAAACGCTCAACAGGAGGTACAGTCAAGCTCCGCACCTCAATTAGGATCAAAAAAATCTGACGCACTTTTATCACGTAGACCACCCAACCCGATGTCAATCTCGGATTCAGGACTGCTGGCGCTCGGACAGACAGGAAGGAATTTGTCACCTCCATCTCCACTCTCTCGTAATCCAGATCAGAGGCTCTCTGGGCTTTCTCTAGGAATCATGAGCCAATCAGCTGGGCAAATGCCAGCAATTGTCTCGCCTGGGAATAACAATAGTCACGTTGTTAACACTGGTACGAGCGGCAGACATCTACAGCCAAACAGCAATAGGACGGGCGACGGCTTGTCTCTCATCACATCAGGAACACAGGCTATTCGCATTGGTGGCCTCGCATCACCCTCATCCCCTGCTGCCCGGCAGGGACACCATGACCCTAACGAACTCCCTGCAAATTCGTTTTCGTCGAATCAATCTTTCATTGTCTCTCCTTGTACACCCAATTCACCAGGGTTTGGATCTGGAGGAGATCAATTTGGCATGGGGGACCACAACGTGTCGTCTGAGGAAGAGGACGTGGCAGATGATCCTACAGTCTTGGAGGCTGGGCGTGTAGCAGCAGCAGCAAATGCTCCAGGATCAGGCTTAGTTACTGGAGAACAGCTTGAGAGCAAGGTTGTTCGACAAGGTTATCTCCTGAAACTTGGCAAGACATACAAGGTAATGCAGACATGGCAGCTTTATTTTATTTTATTTTACTTATTTTTTGTGGGTCGCATACAAAGGAATTATAAACATTATAGGCTTGTAAGCTCTTCAATACTGTCGTAATATTAAACCTTTTTTTTTTTTTTTTTTTTTTTTTAATCCCGATTTTCAATGTCCTAGACATGGCGAAAGAAATGGTTTGTGCTCCGTGGCGATAAATTGACATATTACAAAAACGCAAAGGAGTATCAACCACTTGGGATCATCCCACTATCGACCATTATCGATAGTCTACAGACTGATCCTGTTTCGAAGCATAAACAATATTGCCTACGCATTGTCACCAGTAGCAAGAAGAGCATTGTTTTGTGTGCGCCGGATGAGGACACTCTTCTTCAATGGATAGACGCTCTCCATGTGGAGTGTGCACGCGTCACCAGAGAGGCCAAGAGTGAACAGAATCAACATTCTACTGCAGCAGATGATGATATTTTATCGGATTCAAGGGCCATCGGCAGAGTCGCCCATATGGATCATAATCCTATTTCCCCTCGACTGCATCAGCACAATGAGGGATCCTCTTCCAATGGCGGTAGTGGCATACTTAATTCTAATGTACAGCTGAATAAGGCACTGAATCTGGAATGCAGAACAGATGGTCATAGCACAGGTGTCACTTCACCGACAAGAGCGCTTCCTGGCCTTTCAATGAGCTTTCAATCGCCGCCATCATCACGTCCATTGCATGAGGGTAGCACGCCAACAACGCGCAACCCACCTACGGTGACTTTTAATATTTAAATTTGTCTTTATAGTTATTATTATTATTATTATTATTATTACTTTTCTCGTCTTTTATTGTATTACCATACCTTTTGTTACTTTGTCGTCTAGTCCTTTACATAGTCTCTCGTTTTTAATGTCTTTCAATCGTATTCTATACAATAATGTTTCCCTTTCCTATTCTCCATAATAATAATCTTGATAATAACAACCATGCAGTAAATATCAATAAACAAATATTGGAACTGGGGAAGTTTTTTTTTTTTTATTTTTTTTTTATTTAATTATATTAAGATACATATATACAAATCTTGTTACTATTAACCCAAAGACAATGACAAGTTTTGATGAAATGATGAACTACATGTACATAAAAAAAAAAAAATTACATGGATATCGAAGATGTTGTTTATCGTGCAGTCTGTAAAGTAGTATCGAATTTCCTAGCAATGCTAGAGACTACCATAGCAAAGCATTAGGCTTAAGGTTCTGAATACTCCAGGTTCATAATAAGTAACAAAGTAACGAGAGCGAGACTATTGTTAAATAAAAAGGTAAAAGTCTTACTAATTAATAGGTCCGTTTTAACTAATGAACGGCACTAACAGGCGTATTTAGAAGCCAAGTTACCGGGGATGTGTATCACGGGAACTCAATATTTTTTTTTTTTTCGAGCAAGCAGCTGATGAAATCCAGCAGCGACTATGGGGGGGGGGGGGGGCTATGAGATAAATCGTCAAATACAGCTCTCCAAGACCTTGAAGAGTTACCTATGTTGCCTAGGAGAGATCAAGACCTTTCCATAATCCATCAAATGCTTTACTGTAATGTAATTCTTGATCTGTCATAGCTATCCCTCTGGTCTTGCGCCGCCCCCTTTTTCATTTTATCGTTTTGTTTAGCACGAATGTGAGGGTTGGTTTGATTAAGACGTTTTCCAATAACTGTCTAATGGTCAGATCAGAATTAAAGTCATCAATCATACGCTAACTGCGACTTTCCTGAGGAGCCATTCATACATATCCCTTTCAACTTCAGAGTGTATCTCACCCTTGACTTTGTAGGACTCATCACTTAGAGCATTAAGTACCTGTGTGACTAATTTGAGTTGCTCAGGGGACATATAGTTGCATAATAGTTGACTATTGGTGGCATCTAGTAAAGTATAGCTACCGTTTCCTATTCTGGCCATGACTTTGTATGGTCCATGATATTTAGGTGCAAGCTTGCCTTCCGCCAATGGATCCCTCGTCATGACAATCGTTTTTTTTTTTTTTTTTTTTTTTTTTTTTAATCTGTATAATATGACATGGACATGAAAAAAAATAACAATATAGCTTTATGAAGAGCGGGGAGTTGAAAAAAAAAAAAAAAAAAAAAAAAAAAAAGAATGTGTTTTATACTTACTATAAGAAACAGAAGAAGGGAAAAAAAAAAAAATACAATAGATGGATGATAGTTTGTACATGTACAGCCTCAATAGATCAGAAGAAAAAAAAAAAAAAAAAACAGAGCACAGGATCTCTTTTCTTTTTCTTTCTTTCTTTCTTTCTTTCTTTCTTTCTTTTTTTTTCTTTTTTGTTTGTACGTGTCGAATGCTTTTACAGCTTTCATGAAGTATGATCAAGACTGAAGAGAGAGGGAAAAAGAGCTATCCTTTTAGATAACTGTTTCATTGCTGTTATTAATATTGCTGCTGACGCTGTTGCTCCACAGTGACGGCAGCAAGGGCAGCTGTCAGGGTCGAAACCTGAGTGACGCCTGTTGGGGATTTAGGTACTGTAGAAGTTGGAGAAAGAGATGAAGGTGTAGTCATGCCATTCAATCCTGGGCCTGTCTGGATCGATAGAACGTTCAAACTCGGAAGGGTCGCGCGACTATGGACAGGCGAGGCCATAGGCGTGACATCTGTTGAGAAGGTGTTGTTCCCGCTCCGGAAGACATTCAAGTTATTGGTATTAATGCTCATTTTTTGGCCGATATTGTTGTTAATGTTCGCTGAAGCGGCCACTGAAGGGACTGAGGGGATAGAGACAGTGGCATTGACATTGGAAGTGGGCATAGTAGGTGCTGCCGGTCGTAGGGCCGGGCTAGAATTAGGGCTCGAATCAGGCGTGTCATCTGATGAGGGTGAGAGTCTATTGCCCGTGATACTTGTGTTGTTGTTGAGGTTGTTGCTTGCACTGTTAGCAGAGGCCGTGATAGCATTGATAGCTGCCATCATCATAGGCGAGGATTCGACTTGAGACAGTGCAGCAGCGACCGCCAAGGCAGCAGCCTGGTTATTGGCAAAGACTCCGTTGATTAGCAAGGGATGAGTTGTCAAACCTGCTTGATGTGCCCTCAAAGCCGTGGGCAGGTTGGGATGCGAGTGTTCGATATGATATTTGAGACCATTCAAGTTCTTGTATCGCTTGCAACAATCCATGAATGTGCAAACATAAGGCCTTGATTCTGGACCTTCTGAATCTCCAAGACCTGCTGCAGAACAGTGTCCATGTTGATTATGGTATTTTAGTCCATTAGGGTTTTTATACGCCTTGTCGCAACCGCTTACTTGGCATCGGTAAGGTTTATCTGCACTAGAAGAACCAGATTTCCCAATATTTTCCATGATGTTTACAAGTTCTTCGCGCTTCCGGATCAGATCCTCGGCCGCCTGCATATATGAAGCAGAGCCGACTTCGCCACAGTCAGGCAATAGCCCTTGTTTGACCGCCAATTGGAGATAATCCGTGACAGAATTCAAGAGATCCTCCTGTGATCTGACTCCAGAAGCAGCAGTCGCGGCATTGCTTGTGGATGATTCAGCTGCCACGCTTTGCTTATTGTTGTCATTGCTGTTGTTGAATACAGTCGAAGCAGAGGAAAGGGTCATGTTCTGAAAAGTTGAAGTCTTTTTGGCCATGGGGCTGTGGGTATCAAAAGAAGTCGAGTATGCAGCAAGATCTCGTTTCTTGCTTGCCAGACTTGAGAACTCGGCTTGAGCAGTGCTCTTTAAAATCGAGTTTGAAAATGCTGCAGTAGTATCATCCGGCGCTGTTGTCGTTATAATCGGGTTCAAGGGATCCTCGGAATAGATATCGGATAATGAGACTCCGTTGGTTTTCTTTTTAGAATTCAGAAATGAAAGTGGTGACAATTTTTGCTGTTGTTGCTGGCTAGCAGTAAGGGCAGCAACGGTGGCAGCTGCCGCAGCATTAGCAGAGAGTGTTGAGGATCCCTTGATAGGATGATTTGAACGTGCTTGAGCATGAATATGAGAACTACTAGGAATTGGATCCGAAGGTGTTGACCATCCTTCTTCATCCACAAACCCGGGAGCCACGGGATGGCCATTATCATCCTCTTCCTCAAAACGCACGTGGCATTCCTCATAATGCTGCAGGAGTGCATGCAGATCACCAAGATTCAGACCACAACAAGAAAAGTTTGTGCAATAATTGGCCTCGAGATCGCGCTGATATACATCGCCCCCTCCTCTCCTGGGTGACGAGCTATAGTCTTGAAGGGCACTATTGTTTAAAGATGAAAAGTGAGTGAATTCGGAAACATAAAGAATGAAATATACGAAGAGAAAAGTGAGAGACAAGATTCAATTAGCCTGATGTTGTGTATGATTCGGAAGAAGAACCAGTCGGGGTTAAGAGAGCACAACAGAATTGGATAGGGTTTTTTCTTTATCTTTTGGGGAGTGTTGTGCTTTATGTGTATTATTCAAGATCCAATGTCCGGTTGTGGAGTGTCCAATAGTGGGCTTTAAGTAATTATAAATACAAACGTACTCGAATTGCTGAGGCGATTGGCCGTAAGGAAACGGAGCAAAGAAGGACGACCTCCTCAGTTGAGCAGAATGGAAGGATCCAACCGAGAGCACAAGAGATGGTCGTCGCAGGGCTGTGGCAGCCGCTAGAGCTTCGGGACTAAAAGGAGACGATGCCAGGAGGGAGCTAGAGTGCATTGGATAGCCATGTGTGAGACTGCCACTGCCACTGACACTGCCACTGTTCACACCCGTGGGAGTTCCAGAGACATTTGTATTTGTAGTACTGTGGTGATGCGGGTTGGAAGAGGATGAAGCAATGTTGATGCTCGGCGTGGGAATGGTGGCGGGCATCAGTGGATGTGTGTTTCTATGCAAATGAATGAAATAAAAACTAAAAAAAAAAAAGGAAATAAGAAAAAGAAGCAAATGTAGAATGGTTATTCCTCTTTTTTTTTCTACTGAATGGGGTAAAAACGGAAGTTGTAGTCGTTGTTTTTCAAGGGGAAAAGACCATTTGTACTAGACCTGCCTAGCCTAGACCAGACTAGACTAAACTAAAACAAAAAAGAAAAAAAAAATTAAAGCACTGCGATAGTTTCTATCCTTACAAGAAAGATTAAGATTGAGAGAACAAAAAGAGAATGAATGAATGAATGAATGAATGACCAACGGTCAATTGATGCATAATGAAATGAAAAGGACAAAGAAAGAGAGAGAGAGAGAAGTGAGTTCCTTTCCATTATGGTTGATACAGTTGCGGCGCCTGATTGGCTCTGTGGCACAGAACTGGATCCGCTTTTATTGTTTTCCATCCTCTTTCAAACCCCGCGTGGACATGGACATTGAACAGCGTGTCTCTTGACTTCATGCTCAGTGAAGCCATTTGCACTCACATAAACGACGCACGCCCCTTCTCCCTCCCTCCGCCCATGTTGACTCTACAGATTATTGCGCACATGCACAAAGGGTATGAAGATGAAAAACTGCAAAGCCAACCAACCTTTTTTCCTCTTCTCAAACAAAGATCAGATGAGGATTGACTGTCAAGAGGAATCCCATCTATCGGAATCACAAATGATTAGAAATCGCGTGGCAAATGTATCAACATTCGATCGTACTATCAAAACAAATACAAATAAAACTATAACCTTGATGCCTTGATGGACCGAGGATATGAAATTGTAAACGAACATGTCTTTAACTAAGGACTCGTCAAGCTTGAGAAAAAACCAGATGCTCCAAACGATAGCAAAGATCGATAGATTCATCCACCAACGAGGCAATGAAAATGATACACGTCAAATTGTTTGTTTACGCGTTTGAGCAACACTTGCAATGCTCAGTATTTTTTTTTTTTTTTTTTTTTTTTTTTTTTGGGGGGGGGGGGGTTCCATTGCCACCGAGTCGTCTTTTTGACATGCTTTGGGTGATGAAATCACATTGCATATTCCATTACATCCTTAATCGTGATAGAATAAGATATATAAAAAAAAAAGACTCTTTTTTTAACCGCTCTAACAGAATATGCACTCTTTCTAATTAGTGGACATGGAGATAATGCAATTGATATTCTACGCGACTACCCCACTCTTTCTATCACTCATCCTTAGTTCAGTTCCTCCTTTTTCTCTCCCTCTCTCTTTCCTACTTTCCTCCCATCTGTTTTTCTCTTCCCTTTGGTTTCCTTAGAAGTATCCTCAAGCTATACAAACAACGTATACTCAATAACGCAATCTCACTCTCCACCCTTCTCATTTGATTCATTTCCTTGGTTCTTGCACGTTATGCTGCAGCGAAGGAATGCCATCCATCCTTTCCCAAAGCCCTTGGAGACAACGAACCCTTTTATATCTCATGAGCCTGCATTGAATCTAACCAAAAACCCCTTCCTATCTTCTTCTTGTGAAGACATAAAGAGTCATCATGCTCAAATCCGATTAACCGCAACTAATCCTGTTTATGACACCGATACAATAAAGCATGCTCAATACGAATATCACCGCCATCGACGTCAACATCAACAGTACCAGCAACAGCATATTCAAGCTTCCAGTAACGCAGCTACAGCCTCAGCTTCAGCCGTGACAGACATTACAAATGCTGATAATCCTTCTAACACCAATCCATTCCTATATCAGCCCGCCACCACCTCTGCGACACATTATTCAACGACTAATGATGGGTGCGGCGCTCCAATTGACCTATGGGATGAATGTATAGAAGCTAGTGGTGAAGGTGTACTACAGGAATACGAAAGTTCCACATCGCAACGGAAACATCGGCTTCGCAAACGACACCAGAGTGTTGGTTCAAGTGAAGAGGGAGGAAGAGGAGGATCAGCGCTAGTGGCAACAGCAGCTCGAAGGCTATCGCTTAATCTATTCAAAGTACCACTTGAGTGGCATCGACGTCGTCATGCAACCTGTGCTTCATCAGGCTTGGAAAGAGTCCTAAAGGAAAGACAATCATCGTTGTTTAACTCGAGTCAAAAGGAGGAGTTGTTGAGCAGTCTTACATACTTGGATATCCAGGGGCAGGACCAACACCCCACCCACCAACACCAACAACAGCCTTCATTTTTACAGGTAGAAGCGCCTTATCAAGGTAATAAGGGTGGAAATAAGGATGACAAAAATGTCATCCTCAAGAGTTCCCGATATGAGTCACATGAAGAAGTTGAGGTAAACATAATGGATAGACCCATGAGTGGCATAAGCAATCGACAGCCACTACAGGGACAGGGCCAGGAGAGTCAAGAGCAAGGCCAGAAGCGACCGCTGTCACCACTCAATCCGTTTCTGGCTTCAAGTACAAACCCAGACTTTGCAGGAGTTGCAAATACTCACTCAATCAAGCCGATCTGCCAAGGAAAAGGAGAAGGACAACAACAACAACAAGAAGAAGGGGGCGAAGAAAATGATAAAGATTTAGATGAAAAGCAGACAAGGGATGCAGATTTGAATGTGAAAGTACAACTTGGAGGGCACGAGGATGCTCACCAAACCACATACCCAGTGCGCCAACGCCATAGCATTTTCTCGGATTGGTCAATCGAAGACTGTTCCCATCATTTGACATCTCAAAAGAATCAGGGGAAACAGGTAAAGGCGATTGCAATGGGTAGAAAGAAGTACTATGAAAAGAAATACATTTGGCTGTATATATATTTGCATCAAGGTATAGCTCATTGTAGTAGAGTACAAAGTCTGACTTGTTTGCGTTCCTCACTGTTCCAGGGCTACTCTTCCTCCCCTTCCTCGAAAGCATCTTTGGCAAGATCAACGACAGATACAGCGTTGAGCCACCACTTTAACCAAGACAACGCCAGCAACAGGAACAGTCATCAGCTCCATCGTCGCATGTCTGCCACGATCGCGTACCATCGTCGCCAGCACCGAAATAGTGCACCTGTACCACCACTACCATCGTCTGCGCTTGCCAACCGCTCGCATAGGAATTCAGCGATCGTTGGAAGGGATATTGTACAACGATTATCGAGGCAGCCATCAAAAGGGTCGAAAAAGTCTGATAATCGTTTGTCTCATGATGATTATCATCAAAGTATAGTACAAGATAAGGGCGGACAGGAAACAGAGCGAGATATTGGTACCCAGGATGATGACAGGGTTGGAAACGCTAATGATGATAATGTTGGTTGTGGTGACGAGGGCACGAGTGATGGTCCACAAGACAATAGGACGTACAGACCAACCCATAAAAACCATGAATCTTGGAATGCAGTGCCCAACCCAAGACCCGCACGCTTATCTGACCGATCTTCCTGGCAGCCACGAAGCTCAGCAGCACGACGTGAATCTCAATCATATGCGCAGGATTTTATGAAAGACAGCGAGAGATGGGTACCACCAACAAGGCCCTGGACATTGATTAGTACAACCGCGGGACTCAACATTACATCGCCATTGTATAAAAGGGCATTTCCACATGAGAGAGAGGGCCGACAGGAATCAATTGAAACGGAAATAGGATACCATGACATGAAAAGGGTTCAAACACAGCCCTATGGACAAGAAGAAAAAGAAGAAGTCGAGGAAGAGATAAAAGAGCAGGAGGATTATATTGGCAGTAAAGGAATGAACCTTGGAGACCAAGCAGCAACAACAGCTTCTTTTAAGGCGGGGGGTTTTAAATATGAGTACGATGGTAGTGGTGATGAGGATTATATTCAAAAGACCACTGAGTGTGCTGAAGAACGTGGATCGGTCTATGATTTTGGAGCCCATTTGGATCATCAGGATCATTGTATAAGCGATGATATCGATGTACGATACTACTACAACTCTGTTGATTGGCAGCGACGAGATACTATGGATGAGATGATTCACGATTATACGCTTCAGGATCAGCAGCATACACCACTCTCAAAGGCGGAGGAGGCATGGAGAAGAGGCATTTCTACTGACAGCAGCAGCACTGCAAGCTGTACTCTCGGTGCTGGCCCCGATTACAGTCGTTCACGAGAGTTGTTTGCACGGAAAGCTCTGTTGGCTAAAGCAAAATTTTATAGATTGCTGAAACAACCTCGGAGCCTTAGCAGTTACGATAAATACACGCACCACCAAAACATGTGCCTGGAGCAAGACATTGAGGAAGATGAAATCGAAGATGGAGGAGCAGATGTTGAGGAAGTCGTTCTACAGGGGTACCAAGAAGAAGGGGAAGGAGAAGAAGGAAGAGTAGATATTAAAGCCGTTTTACAAGAATACCAGGAAGAAGAAGAGGAAGAAGAAGGAGGGGCGATAGATGGTAAGTATCATGATCCTCCATGGTCGGCAACGCCTGCCTCCTCTACCACAACTTCGTTACGCTCCAAGATGCGCTTGGACAAGACTAAGGCAACATTGCACCAAGTCAAACATCGAATCGGTGCTGCGGCGCGAAAGATCATTTCAGACGCCAACAAGGCTGCGAACACTGTAACGCCTACTCTTTGGAACAAGCATATGAAAAGGAAGGGGACAGCAAGAACGGGGCTAAGGACAGAAGAACCAGAGATGGAGATAGTCATGGAAGAGAAGGTGCAAAGATCATTGTCTTCTCCTGATCATAGATCAGTCTTTGTTAAACAAGCCCTGGGAAACAAACATGATGATGGTTATGGCCAACCGAATCTTGAACTGAACGACTATGTCGACCACCAGCAACAGTACTTTCATTATAATAGTGGCTTTAATAGTGACGGGATGACAAAAGGACGTTTCCATCGAATGAAGCCAGGTGCAAAGCGATAATGGATAACAAATAGTGCGGCATTCCTTCCCACGCTTTTTTTCTCTCATATACACTCTCTTTCTCCTTTACATTGCAATAAATTAAAAAGAAGTACCAAAGTCTATGAGTAAAATAGATGTCCTTGTGCACAAAATGGCTCCCTATTTGGGATAAAAAAAAAGAAAAGAAAAAGCAAGATCGTGCGAGATGCGATGAAGGGACCCTACTGTCTTTTTAGTGCTATTAGAGTTAATATCGGAAATATGGGCTACCTGTTTGTTTGTAATACATTAAAAAAGTACATTAATTGATGGAAGAACCCGGCCCAAGTGTTTCTGCATATTTGCTTGACCTCGTGTCGTGGGGGGCTGTCACGGAGGAAAAAAAAAAAGCAACATTTGCAGAAATGGAGGGTAAAAGGTCACTTGGACAAACATGGTGGTTTTGCTGTTGCTATTGTTGTTGTTGTTATTGTTATTGCTGTTACTATTGTAGTTACTGTTATTGTTGTTACCAATGTGGGTAAAATGGATAAACAACAAAGAAGTCTGATAGGCTACTGTATTCTAATGGTCGTCAATGGGTTCATTTGCCCTGCCTTTCAAGAACGTCAAGAATGTTCATTCCCATTCTCTTCTTCTTCTCCTCTCCCCCTCTTTTCCTATCCCAGATAAGGCAAACACGCGCGTGCACATTTGCATGAACACGTGTGCTGAAAGAGAGCAAGCAAGACGAACAGCATTGGCATTTTTTTTTTTTTTTTTTTTTTTTTTTTTTAGCTAATCAAGCATTTGTCTTTTTATTATCAAGTCTATTAAACCAATTAATACTGCGGTACCCTTCCTTCTCTTCACCCCCCCCTTCCTTCCCTCTCTCCTATTACATGTAAGTTGCATGCATGCATGCATCTCCCTCAGTTTATCATAAAAGAAAAAAAAAAAGGGAAGCAAGACTGCAGAGGTTGATCGAAGGATATGATTAAAATGCCTTGCTGAGTAACATGTACTTGCAAGCCAAAAAAAAAAAAAAAAAAAAAGTGTTGGTTGCATCCATGTATATATATATACATGTACATGTACCATAAAAGCTGATGGAGCAAGATCTTTTTTTTTTTAAACATGCGAGATGGAAACTCAAACATGTAATATCACTTTCTCGGAGATGAAGATACAATGTAGGAAAGATTTGAGCGCAGATGTCGCTACTTTATTATTTACTCCTCGGTATAGTATTGAGTTTTAAGTAAAAAGAAAAAGAAAAAGAAAAAAGAAAGGAAAGTTTGTATTATGTACAACAAATGAAAAAGGAAAAAGGTTGTATTTATTTAATGCTTGAGGAAGCGAGCTTCGCCATGATCGACATCGTGGTAGGCATGAATGGGTGCCTTGTCCTGCTTAAGAACGCTACGTGATTCAACAAGGCGAATGGCCTCTGAGGCATGTTGGCTCAAACCAGGTGCTTGAGAATCGACCTACCAAAAAAAGAAAATTTAAAGTGGGTTAAGATATTTTTGCTCCATGAACAAACGTACTACAAATAATGATAACGCGAAAGGTGAAGGAGAAGGGACAGGGAACTTTTGTTTGTTGTTGTTATTGTTGTGCTTGGTTTCTTTTCAGCATGGACAAACACAGCTGTGAACGGCCAGCAAGTGTAACGCGGATGAAAAAGAAAAAGAAAAAGAGGCCTGGGTCACTTCCCCTCCCTTTTTCTTTTTCTTTTTTTCTTTTTCTTTTGCGTCGTACACTCTTTTTTCTCCTGCAACTGTTAAGAGTAATAAAAAAAAAAAAAAAAAAAAAAGACGAACAATGCGAAAAATGTAGAGAAAGGAGTCCTCCGTCTGCATTGCAAAGAGAAGGTGGGAGGTGAAAATCATTTGCATTATGCAGAAAGGGCAAAAAGGATAAAAAAAAAAAAGTCTTTTCATCCACATGGCAAATAACCCAATTCATACTAAAAAAAATTACATATCCAGAGTTAGGAGCAAAACACATTCTTTAAAAAAAAACGGTAATAAAAAAAAAAAAAAAAAAAGGAGCTTGATGTTTGATTGGGGACATTATAAGCATAGCAAATAAAAAATAAATGTAATAAAGTAAAAAGAAAACCCATTGACATTGTCCATCATTATTCATTGGCGACTGAAATCCATCCATGACTCCTCAAAGTAACATCTCGTCCGCTTTTTTTTTTTTTTATAAAATTATTTATACCTCAGATGTCAGGTTCTTTGCATTGTTCTCCAATTTATCAGCAACTTTCTTGGCATTCTCGGCCCAGGCACTTGACGAGTAGGCTGAGGGATGTGAGTTATTGACAAAGGCTACCACGGGAATACGGACCATGGAAACACGAGGAAGACCAGCCTTGATTGAATGGATTGCGACGGACATGGTTTATAATTAAGATTAAATATAGAGAGAAGGGACTAAAAATATATTTGTATAAAGGATCAGGAGAAGGGAAGAGGGTGTTTGGGTGTTGAAAAGAAAGAGTTGCGAGTAAAGAAATAAGCGAGCAAACGAAGAGAGATTTGACAAAGAAAAAAAAAAAAAAAAAAGAAAAAAAAATTGGGTGGAAGGTTGATTATTTATAGTAAATGAGTAAATGAGAAAAGGGTTCAGTTTCGAGTCAGATGAGCGCAGTGTTACGCGTGCATCGCGCGCTTTACATGGACTTTGAAGGCTTTTTTCTAGTTCCACAAGATTCAAGAGAGAGAGTGTGGGCTAAATCACCATGGTTCATTGGACGGAATAAAAAGGGATTGTACACATGTTGGACACACTTTGCATTTGCATGTAAAGAAATGCCCCGTGTGATTCGATTCGATGCACGTCTGTTTTATTCTCTGGAGTAAAAAAAAAAAAAAAAAAAAGAGCAAATAAGCAAAATATAGGGTAAGCTTAGCGTTGGATGTTCTCTTTGATGTATTTTTTGCTTTGTTGGGTGCATGGAAGGAGCGATGCTACTGGTTCGCTGACTGATGATTCGATTTCACCTCCATCTCCACGGATGCATTTTTGGGTCAAAAAAAAAAAAAAAAAAAAAAAAGTTATTTTCTACCTGTGGCTCTCTAGTTTTCTACACTTTCAACACATTGCCTAGTGCTCATTGCTCGTACAGGTCCAGGTGAAATGTAGGAATGTAGGGTAAAAAACTAAAAAAGATTAGTGTTTGTAATGTGTACATGTGTCCATTTTATATGCATATTTTTGATTTTTAATCCATGCTCATTTTCACATAGGACAGTAAGAGATGGTCCCACTTCCCAATTAGTCATAGCCAAAGAAGAGAGAGAGAGAGAGAGAGAGAGAGAGATTGCGAGGAAAAAAAAAAAAAAAAAAAAAAAGTCTCCAAGAAATGGATCATGTTTATTACTCATTTGCTCAACCTCCTTTCTCTCTCTCTCCTCATTTTAAGATAATACCATAAAAATGGACAAGCTCGACTGGCTAGAATTGAGATCTACAAGGCTCATTCAATAAAGTAAAAGATGCAAAGAAGAGAAGTTGGGGAGAAGAAGCACATTTGCATTAACAGCATTGTTTATCTTTGTGTGTGGGGAGGACATGTTTAATTTACAGGAACCAAAAGCAGATGAATACGACGTTTTTTTTTCTTCCTCCATTTTCCCCAATTCTTTTTTGGCGGGCAAAAAGATGGTCTTGTTCCATCCGGAGAAATGATCGAAAAATGAACGGTCCTTTCCGTTCTGTACGACAATCTCTAAATAGAATCACACCCAACACTTGTATATATATGCCTTCTCTCTCTCCTCCCTTCCCCAATCTGCTTGCTTTCTTTTACTCCCCCATCTCCTTCCAACACCATTTTATTAAACATTCTTGGCATGACATAACTGACTTTTCTGAAACTAGTTCAAAGATAAAAAAAAAAAAAAAAAAAAAGAAAAGATATCACTTGTTGGGGATTGGATTGTCATGTAAAAATTTGAACCCTTTTTTTTCCCCTCTTGTATTGCTGTGCTGGCAACGGATGTCGTGTAACATCTCTTTCATTATAAGAAGCAAATATAAAAGTTGTTATGGCGACTTCTTGACAAGAACTTTTTTTTTTTTTTTTTTTTTTTTTAATTTTTTCTATTTTTTATTTATTTATTTATTATTATTATTATTATTATTTTTATTTCTTCACTTGCGCATCTTCTTGCCCTTATTTCCTCGTGCAGCACCACTCTTGCTCTTATAGCTACCAGCCTGAACAGAATCATCATCCCGATCATTATCATCTGCATTGAAAAGGCGCTTGTTTCCACCACGACCTCCTTTACCCCGATTAGCATGTTGTTCCTTCAATTCGGTGATCGCGAACCGTTGTGCTTCCGCCACACGTTCCTGTAATAGCATCACTGCATCCTTATCTGTCGGGAACTCCTCCAGCTTCTTGCCCAGGGCTTGTTCAATCCTCTGGTAAACCTCCACATCATATTGAGTCACAAACGTAATCGATTTACCCGATCGACCTGCACGGGCCGTTCGACCCACTCGATGAATATAATCCTTGGAGTTATTGGGCAAATCATAGTTGAGAACAATATCGACCGATGGAATATCCAATCCTCTGCTAGCCACATCCGTTGCAATCAAAATGTTCCTGTTCCCTGCCTTGAACTTGTTCAATGCTCCTAAACGCTTTTCCTGACTGAGCTGTCCATGCAGCGGGATCGCTGGGAAGCCCAGGTTTCGAAGCAATAATGTGATGCGTTGGGTATCGTTACAGGTCCTTGAAAACACAATGGTCGAGTTACCCGCCAGTTCGTTCAAGAGATAGACTAGATATGAATCCTTATGCTTGAGTGGGAAGAACAGGTAATATTGTAATAACGTGGACACTGTTGAATATTTCGTAGCAACCTCGATCTTGACGGGATTATTCAAACTGGCCCTTTGTAATTTAGCGACCTTGGTGGTCATGGTGGCAGAAAACAAGAAAGTGTTGCGTTCCTTGGGAATGACTTTGAGGATCTGATCAATGATCGGTCCAAAATCCATGTCCAACAGACGATCAGCCTCATCCAACACCAAATATTTCAATGTTCTCAAACTAAAGCCCTTTGTGTTCTCCAGATGGTCCTGAAGACGTCCGGGTGTACAGACAATGACGTGTGGCTTTTTGGAAAGAGCAATTGATTGAGCCATCATATCCATTCCTCCTACAATAACACAGCAGCGCACTCCAATGGTTGATCCTAATGATTCAAATGTCTCTGAGATTTGGACAGCCAACTCTCTAAATAATACAAGATGAAACAAAAAATAAAATAATAATAATAGTAATAGTAATAGTAATAATAATAATAATAATAATAATAAAAAGGGTCAGTAAGTTTTATTGGTTCGTTTAAATAAATAAATAAATAAAAAAAAAAAAAAAAAAAAAAAAAAAAAAAACCGTAAAAATTTACCTCGTGGGAGCCATGACACAAGCAAACATGGGTGAAGGGTTGTTCCAAAGGGCTTGAAGGATAGGAAGGGCGAACGCAGCTGTCTTTCCTGATCCTGTCTGAGCGAGACCAATGATATCACGACCCTGCAAGGACCAAGGAATGGACTCTCTCTGAATCTCTGTTGGTGCTTTAAACTTGAGTTGCTCGCAGGCATCCACCAAAGGTTGCATCAGACCCTTTTTTTTTAAAAAATAAAAAAAAACAAAAAAAAAAAAAACAGAAATTAGTATAGTGTATAGTGTTTATTAATGATGATCTATTGTAGTCGAAAATAATCGCGACTTTTTCTTTTTTTTTTTTAAAAAAAAAAAAATGTAAATGTATTTACCAGGTCCTTAAAAGTGACATTCTCCTTAGATTTCTCGGTTTCTTCATCATTATTTCCATTATCTTCTTGACCTTCATCAACACTCTTATTGTCGTTATCGCTACTGCTGTTGTCTTTTTCTTTTTCTTTTTCTTCTTCTTCTTCTTCTTCTTCTTCTTCTTCTTCTTCTTCTTCTTCTTCACTCTGGTCTACAGAGTCATCATCACTCTCATCTTCACTATCGGAGGGTTGCTGGACAACAGGCTTTTTTAACTTTTGTGTAGGGACAGCAGCAGCTACAGCCTTCTTAATTGGCTTGGCTGTTTTGACAGCAGCAACCTTCATATTGCCGCCCTTGAGGATCTTTTTAACTGCCATGAAGAAGAGGGGAAAAAAAAAATAAAAAAAATGCTTAAACTAAATAAAAAAAAAATAAAAAAAAGTAATGGAGCAACTTCAAAATAACAAAATGCTTTGTATGCTGCTAAGAGGGTGTAAAGAAGGAAGGTGGAAGTGGGTATTTGTAGAAACTAATGTAGTGTAAAGGGACGAAGAATAATAATTATACAGCGTCCAAGTAAAGTGCAAAGCAAAAGTAAAAAAAAAAAAAAAAAAAAAAAAGTAGTCAACAGAACAACAGAAAAAAATAAAAATAAAAAAAGGAAAACAGTGACTGCTTTCCAAGTGGCGCACAGACATCTATCAAGAGCAGTGCACTGGTTGGCAGACTGGCACAGTCAAAAAAAAAAAAAAAAAAAAAAAAAAGTGTAGTTGGAGAAAAAGGTTTTTTTTTTTTCGTTTCCCCTACTTGTTGATTTGCAATCAGAGGAAAGAAAAAAAAGGAAGCTGCCAGAACATTTACATTACAAATCTGTCTATAAAGCTCTTTTCCCACGTCCTCATTCTTTTTATTTATTTATTTTTTTCTTATTTCTACCTCCCCTCCTTGGGTCAATTGCATTATCGAATAAAAATAATAATATTAAAAAAATAAAAAATAAAAAAAAATGCCCGCCACGCTGACCGACCTACAACAGTGGAGTGTCCTCCTAGGTAGCGATCTTCAATACAAGCCAGAGAATAGTAGTAGTGATGCTACAGCTACAGCTACTACTTCTGCTGATGCTACCAACGATACCAAGGCCGGTTCACAATTGAGTGCAGATACGAGTCCTTTGACTCAATTGCTCCTTGCCGGAGAATATGACCTTGCTCTAAAGTCACCCGTTGCAGCTGAAATCTTTGGTACAAATCTTTCAGACGCAGATCCTGATGTGATCGCCCTTGATACATCCTTTGATCTGGCCACATTCTTGACCAAACGTATTCAAACCTATATCAACAATTATTCATCATCTACATCATCTACATCATCTACATCTACATCTTCTGCAACCTTGGATGTTCTCTTTGTCGCCATTGCGGCCCTTTATGCCTTTGTTCAGGCTGGTTGGACTGGCCCCGACCTTGGCTTTGAGCCCATTGATATCTTACCCGCTTTACTTCGTCCTGATCGCAATAACAGAACCAAAGATCTGGATGCTCAAGCGTTAGACAAACTCTCAGTCGGAGGCGAGACCACCTATCATCTCTCCCGTCAAATCTTGTTTTTGTATACGTCCAGAATCATTCTGGTCGATAATTTGGATCTTCTTAAACGAGATCCTGAAGTCGCCAAGACCGCTCCTTGGTGGGCCCTCCGAACTTTGTTTCTGCAGCAGAGAACTCTGGAAGGGCCCACAGGTGTACTCCAGTCCCAGATGTTGGCCTTGGCAAACGAGATCGAAACTGCTGTGATGACTGAGGTATATAACTTTATTAACATTTAAAATCAAATTTTGCCATGTATTCCCCTTATAATTTTAAAAGCCCTTTGTTCACTCTTTTCTTCTGCTTCTTCTTCCTCTTTCTTCCTCTTCATCAAGGTTGAGCGTGAGGATGGACCTTTGGAAGCCATTGACAAGAAAGAAGCTCAAACGCGATTCTGGATCGAGAAGGGTTTGGTCCTGCATTATTACACAGATGACACCAAGGCCTATGAGACCTTCCAAAAGGCTCAATCCACCTCTGGCTTCCGCTTCAAGGTCACGGGCGCATTGGGCAAACGGACCAAATTCCAAACGTACGATACTTCTCAACTCGTGGTCGTTGCAGAGAGTAGTCAAGATATGGCCAGTGCTCGTCCTACTGCTTATAAATCCAATGCAGGTGGAAATTCAGAAACAACATCTTCATCGGGCACAGGGACAGGGACAGGGACAGGGACAGGGACAGGGACAGGAACAGAGGGAGCAAATGGAACAGAAGTCTCAACACCCACACCCACATCCACGTCCACATCCACAGGAAGAGGAGGTCCCAGAAACCTTGAACATAACGATGACACCATCCTAGAAAAGATCCAGTTCACAGAACTGACGGAAGAACAACGCGCCAACCTGGGTGATCTGGAATTAGACCCTTCCAAAAAAATCGAAGACCTTCACCCAATCGATCACGCTCTCTTGTTAGCATTCTGCCTCAACATCAAAAACACCAATCCAGCTCATGGTCTCACGGTCGAACAAATGTTCCCCTTTGTCACCCGAGTGCTCGAGACCCCCAATAACTGGACAGTCTACACAATGGCTCTTTTGCTCCGTTCACGTCTCGAATCCGACAAGTCCAGAACAGTCGAACGTGGTACGTTGCAGCTGCAGGCTCTAGTGGATCAAACCAAGATTGAAGATGAAACCTCAACCACCCAAGAAAGGATGCATCATTTCTTTTCAGTCTTGTTGCCTTCCAAATGGGAACTCGAAAAGGAATTGGCAGAACAATACATGAAGCTGGGCGTTATCCGTTCGGCTCTCGAGATCTTTGAACGACTCGAGCTTTGGGAGGATGTGATTGCCTGTCATCAATTCTTGGACCAGACTGCAAAAGCCAAGGCGCTCTGTCATGAATTATTACAACAGAATCCCAAGAGTCCCAAATTGCTCTGTATCCTTGGTGATCTGGATCAAGATCCTGAAAAGTATAAGGAATCTTGGGAGGCCTCAGGTCAGCGTTTCGCGCGTGCTCAACGATCATTAGGATCCTATTATTATAAACGTCAAGAGTTTGCGCCTGCCAAGGTAGCGTTTCAGCAAGCACTCAAGATCAACCCTCTTTTTGAGAACTCTTGGTTTATCCTGGGCTGTATCTGTATGCAACTTGAGGATTTCTCAGTCGCGATCGAGGCCTTTACCAGGGTCGTCTCATTGGATCCCAACAACGGAGAGGCCTGGAATAACTTGGCAGCGATTCATATGCGTGAGAACAATAATGTGGATGCTCACCATGCTTTGCGACAGGCTCTGAAGGAGAAGCGAGAGTCTTGGAAGATCTGGTCGAATTACATGTACTGCTCCATCGACATTGGTGATTTCACAGAAGCTATCCGGGCCATGGGTATGGTGGTCGAAATACGTTACAAGCAAGTGAAAAGGGAAAGCGACAAGAGGAAAAACAGCGGTACCAACAGCAACAGCACTGGCGAAGCCGATGACGAAGCGGCTCAAGAGATTGTTGATATCATGGTCTTGGACAGGATCGTTCAGGGTCTAACCCGGGACCTCAAGGATCTTTATTCCAAACGAGTTGCGTTCCAAGAGTCCAAGATCGAAGAGCTCTTGCTCGGCATCACCAACCGAATCTCGAATGACCCTCGGATCTGGAAGATCTGTGGGAAATTCTACTTTTGGCAAAAGAACTATCCAGAATGTTTAGAATCCCATCTCAAGGCCTATCGTTCCGTCACCCTGAGCTCCAAGATCGAGACTGATCAGGCCGAGTTTGAGAAGGCAGTGGAGGCAGCGATTGAGATGGTGGATTGGTATCGTAACCTGGGTCCTTTGACCTATAAGGATTCACAGGGTCAGGAGCAGATCGTAGCCAAGGATTGGGCCTACCGTGCGAAACAGATGATCAAGAGCCTGATGGGCAGGACAAGGGATTCTTGGGAAGACCAACCAGCGTTTGAGAAGTTGAAGGATACCTTGGAGGGCCTCAAAACCGAGAAGTAAAATGAAGTACAACAGAAACAGAAACTTTTTTTTTTTTTTCTTTTTCTTTTTTTTCACGTAGGATGTTAAATACAACAGATACACAACACAACACAGCACGACATTAGACGTTCACTTTACGTAACTGCAAAAATAGATTACAACAATTATTTTTTTTTTTTTTATAAATCTTCCTCTTTGTAAATCTGCAATAATGTCTATATGCATCTACATCAATAAGTTGAAAAATATGTTTTTGTAATAATTAAGCAATAGCAGGAGAGCCAGATCGCAGCGAGACATTGTTGCGGCGGTACGAGAAATTGAAGCCTAGTTTTTTTTTTTTTTTTTTTTTTTTTTGCAAATGTTTGGAAGGTTAGCAACTCTTTTCTTTTCTTTTCTTTTCTTTTTCTCTTTTTCTCTTTTTACCTTGAGAGCGGGTCTCAATAGCAATCCTTCCTTGATTAATATCCAAGATCAACAATCCCAAGCCTGCATCCGGCAAATTGAAATTCCACATGTTCTTGAACGCAGCCTCATCTTTATCATTCGGCAAACTGTTTACAGCAGGCAAACGGTTGACGACTGACAGACAATTCTCCAATAGGACCCGTTGCTCATCACTCACACTGCTCTCCACATGTGTCTTCACTCCTTCCCACATATCCATAAAATTCTTTTGAGAGTTCAACAACTTGTTCCGGTACAACTCCTGATCTCCTTGAACTCCAAATTCATTGTACGAGATTCCATAGCGGAAATGTAATCCTGCAGAAAGCGTGAAATCGGCCTACCAAAAAGGAAAATAAAGTAAAATAAAGAGTAAAAAGTAAAAAGTAAAAAGTAAAAAGTAAAAAGTAAATCATCCAAGTTGTTAGATTTTTTTTTTTTTTTTTTTTTTTTTTTTTTTAAATTTGATCCGCATTGCCTGCCGACATGTTTAATCAATAAAAATGGCAATATATATTCACCTTCAAAACAAGTGCCAATTGAGCAAGGATTCCTTCACGACCAGGACTAGCATGAGAGACCAGGACACGAGTCTCTGTCGCATCAAAGACTTTTTGAGCCGTATCGACCAACTGTCCAATTTGAAGTGCTGTTGTCCACATTGTACCTGAACCGCCAGCGATGGTTGACGTTCCTGTATAATCATATATATATATTTCCTTAGCTCTATGCACATTGCAACAAAAAAAAAAAAAAAAAAAAAAAAAAAAGCAAAAAGTCAAGAGTTTTGACCAAACGAACCTTCTCCAATATCAAAGAACTTGTGCTGTGCAATAGCACCTCCCAATCCAAAAAGTCGAAGCTTCACCCCTCCAATATCGATTACAGTCGTAGCAGCTTCGTCCAGAATGTTCAAATGAGGGATTGAGTATTCATTTGATCGAAATTTCTCCAACACACTGACGTCTTCGCAAGCTCCCCAGACGGTATACACAGGGACCTTCAATGTCTTTTGTCCTGATAAAAATAATGGCAGTTCGGATAAGATATGGGTGGTCGAGGCCCTGATCTGAGACCGGAGTGAATCCGGTGTCACATTCGCCTGTAATAGTCGTGTGCGCATCGCTGGAGGGATCAAAGTGCTGTATTGAACCAAATGCTTCAATGTTCTTTTTTTTTTACCAGAAAAAAACAAATTAGACTTTTATCATATAAAATCGCCATATATATATATATATATATATATATATATACATATTTAAACATTTACCTGTCACTAATACGATTCAAACTGTCGCGTTCTTAAAGAAAGAAAGAAAGAGAGATACAAAAGATACAAAAGAATTTAGAAAACTTTTCCAACTATTTACGCGTTTTTAAAAAGAGAGAGAGAGAGCGAGAGGGAGAAAGGGAATTTTTTTTTTTATTTTTTACCATAAAATCCAAAATCACCACAATGGATAATCAATTTGGCTCCTGTCTGATCTGCTAGATCATTCAACTGCGAAATGTTGCCTACATACCCATTAAAGAAAAAGAAAAAAAGCCAGACATTCTTTATAAATTTAATGTTGCTCTTTGAAATCCAGCGTATCATATCAGATCTTTTAATTCCGGAAGGTCAATTGAAAAAAAAAAAAAAAAAAAAAAAGATTACCTCGAAGATCCGCAACACAGAGCACCTTCCCAGCTGGGGTGTTGATAGATTGAAGTGTAGGCGAGCTCATCCTTTCTTTTCTTTTCTTTTCTTTTAATAAAGAAGAAAAAAAAAAAAAAAAAAAGAAAAGAAATTCAAGCATGTCAGAAACAGGTTTTGTGGTTAGTGAGTGACCCTTCCCCTGTTTTTTTTTTTTTGCAAAGTTCTCATCCATTGCTCTCATTCTCAAGAGATGATGTGCAGATGCTGAGCCTTACCTTCAATATTAAACTGTTATCACTTTTTAATTAATGTGCCTGTGCCTGTTGTAATATTATTTTTTTTTTCCTCTCCTTTGGGATGTCGGTTAAATAGATGGTTATGAATGTGGATGAAGACAGTTGAACAAGGTTGTGCTAAAGTCTTATTTCTAATTTCTAGGGCTCACACACCTCCAATTGAGATCGAAAAAATCATGTGTGGGGAGGCACGTGTTGCAAGGCGAAATCCTCTCTTTGTCTGATAGACTCACCCTCCCCCCTGGGAATATTACCTACTTTGCCCATAAAAATTTACATCCTACACAGGCACACAGGTACATGTAAACAGGAACAAACAGAGCTGTCCACGCGCATAAGGTTGATTTACTCTTTCATGCAGTATGGACTACATTCCTCAGCTCTGCTACTGTCCTGCATATACCAGATTATCCTTCTATATACACCTCCCTTTCCAACCCTTTTCTTTTTTTTCTTTCTTTTTTGCTACTCTTGCTTGCGAGCTATATATTCTGTAGGTCTGTTGCAACTGTTGCCTGTTTCATCGAGTCAAAGCATCAAAGCAACAAAACTTCAAAACATCATATACTCGCGTGAGTTACATACAGCAAAGGGTACGAGCTTATTATTCTATACTTTCTTTTTAATCGTTGTTGTAATTGTGAGATTATCGTGTTGCTTTGGGTATTTGACTGCAAAGTAGAACGACATTAAGAAGAAGGAGAAGAAAAAAAAAAAAGATTAGATCAGTTAGTAACATTATTCCCAATTCCTGTTGATTTTATTTTCATAATACATTGTGAAGAAATAAAAACCAAACTTGCCAAACGTCAGATTGTCTCTTTGCCGGATGATAAACCATCCATGAATAATCACTCGTAGGAAAGCTCCCAGGATTCATGCAATGACAATTCTGGTAATTGAAGTTGTACGCCTCGAATTTATCCGCCAAGATCAACTGGTAAGGAAAAAAAAAGGGAAAAAAAAGGGAAAAAAAAAAAAAAAAAAATCACCCTGTAGGTTAGATTCATCATGGTCAGTTTCCAAAACACATTTGCGATAGAATTATGGACCTACAGCGTCTGGAATGGGGTAAATCCTGAGAGCATGATCGTAAGCCCAAGCAACTTGTCGCGTTGTCAACGGCAGAGGAGAGAGATGTGCGCCATCCACGAGTGTTCTGACAAGTTGCTTCTGGATCACGACATCTCCAGAAGGTGAAACAATACAATTACGTAGAATCCGGTTCAAAATATCGTCTCGGAAAATCACAATTTCTTGATCACAATACTTGATCCTATTATCGTGTCCATTTTTTTTTTTTTTTAGGACCCGTCAAAAAAAACGTAAAAAATACTTTTTTTCTTTTTTTTTTTTTTTTACCTGCATGGATTTGATGTAAAGATAGATCGCTTCACTAATGATCTAACTTTAGCCGTATAAAAATCTGGGATCTTTGGTCGAGGCAAAATGCCACCGTCCCAAGGATCGTTTGGGCCAGGCACAAAGATAAAATAGCTAAATGTAGCCATCGTCGGAAACTCTGCAATCAATTCTGCTAGCTGATTGAATCCCTCTCTATAAGGGGCTGATTCAAGTCCATTGAGCAAAAACGGCACCGATTTGAAACTTCCACACATGATGAATGCTAATGGCAGCGTCGAATTGGAATAACCCTCAAAAATCGTTCGCAACGTTGTAAACGTCTTTTTTTTTTTTTTTTTTTTTTTTTCAAGAATCAATCAATCAATCAAAAAAAAAAAAAAAAAAAAAAAAATTGTTAAAATTGTCACCCTTATAGGCACTTGAATGTATTCCATTATTTAACAACAACATCATCAACAACAAAAAAAGGTATCCTACCTTGGGTTGATCCAGCCACAGATCCGAGAGAATGACGAAACAAATATCTTCATATTCTTCACAAATCACCTTGAGCTGTTCTTCACTTCTCATCTCCCTTGGCGCTCCTAAAAAGTCTATATTTCCAAATACTTTTCTACAACACAATATATTCAATCGTTACAACAACATGAGTTATCGTATATATATAAGCAACAAGGAAATAATAAAAATAATAAAAAAATAAAAAATAAAAAAAAAAGACGTACTTTGTTTCCTCACGTAACTCAGGAGGTGGTAGACCAATAGCATCAACGTGAATATTGTTATCGTCCGTATACTTTCCTTCCAGCAACACAAAACAATTCTCTGTGAACATTCCAGCAGTGTTTCGCTAAGTGGGTTAAGAGAGAAAAAAAAGAAAAAAAAAGAAAAAAAAGAAAAACTCCTATTCAAGTTAGACAGACCATAGACATAGACATATCGTGTTTGATTTTCATATATATATATATACATGTGTGTGTGTGTGGATAGTATCCTTACACTATGTTGAAAAACAAGCTCCACTCGATCATCCGCATCCTCTAAACAGAATCTCCCATGACTGTTCCGAACAAGCATCCCAAACATCAGGAATCGTTCCCCTGCTCGACCCTTCAATGCTTTCAGTGGTGTGATCTTCAAATACCGATCCTGTTTCATCCCTCCTGTGAACACGGGTGGCGCAAAATGTTCATTCCTCAAAATACGCTGTAATAACAAGTGATATCGAGCTCGAAACATCGCAGTCTTTTCTTTTGCTGATCCTAACAACTGATTCGCCCCTTTGCTCGCATTTGTACTTGTTGCTATCGTACTTGATCCATTGACTTGGTGATGGTGATGATGATTTGAGGGATGACGAGCCGAGCTATCATTATCTTCAACACGAGTGAAAGTCTTGATGTCGGATGCCCAGTCCCAACGTGGCATCGAAAACGCATCGATCACATGAAACAACTCTGTAATGTCCACATCGTCCTCTTCTGCTTCTCCTTCTCCTTCTGCTTCTCCTTCTCTTCCTCCTACCATGTACATATTCTCATCTTGCATCGGTTCTGATCCGTATTGTTGACCTTTTGAAAAGTCATCATCACCATCAGCATTATACGACGAACGATATCGTTCCCTTTCTTCTACCTCCTCTATTCCATGTCGGACTGAATCCATATCAATTGATTCTAGATCGTGTGGATCAGGCCGTTGCGACGATATCGATTGAGAGACCTTCATCATAGATTGTTGTTGTGGTTGTTGAGATTTATGTGGATCAAGTGTATTGCGCGTGGGCTTCTCGTGCAAGTGATGTGTCCATTTCTGCATACTCTCCAATACAATCTCCAAACGAGCTCGACTCACCAGGTTTAATCCTTGAGTTTGATTTAAAATAAGGAGGAAAAAAAAAAAAATGTTTAGCTTCCAGTTTAAAAGAAATAAAAGAAGTTGAAAGTAACCGGAGGATCTTGATTGCATTACGCTTTCTTTTTTTTTTTTTTTTTTTTTTACTACACTCCTTCTCTATCTCTATCTTCCATTCTCTTTTCCCTTTTCTCTTTCCTCTTTTCTCTTTTCTCTTTCTCAGTCATTTCCTCTTTCTCTTTCTATTTTCTCTCCATATACCTTCCCGAGCTACATATCCTACAGCAATGTTTTCAAGTGTATCATTCAGATCTTCCGGAGGTATATCTTGTGCTTCCAAAGTCTGTTCCAAGAATTCTGTGGCATCGAGTTGAAGAGTTAGCTGATGCTTTTTAAATGTCCTGACGATCTGACGTCGCACCGCCATCATTCGTGCCTTTGGAGTTGACATTGGTATCATGATTAAGATTGATTTCCTCTTTTTTTTTTTTTTTTTTTGTGAATTTCAATGTGTCGAATAAAAATATAAATATGGATATATTAAAATAAAATAAAAATAAAAATAATCTCCCCCTTTTTGGTGGCACCACGCGAAGGACGTGTTTTTTATGTTTATTATTTTTTGTACGAGGTGTCGAGGTGTGTGTACAGCTCTAAAACGCACAGTATTGTGGCTTGCAATTAATCAATTATCACTACCCTATCACTTATAAGTGAATTGTTTAATAAACTTTTTGTAATTGATATCGATCATACCTTTTTTTTTTTTTTTTTTTTTTTTCTTTTATTTCACGCACCCAACAACAAGAAGCTGTTACTGATGATGCTCTTATCAATGATGTTCTCGCCATCAATCAAATTGAAAAAAAAAAAAATATTGATCGGTGTGATTTGAAGATATTGTAAGTGTTCAAATGCGAATAATAATAATAATTTTTTTTTGTATCAATGCTTTCTTGATGATATCTAATCAGAACTATGCTTTAGAGAAAAGCCCTTGACGCGTCAAACTCTGGGAAGGATGGGGAGGATGACAGCGAAGAAAAAGAAGGTGGAAATGAAGAAAAAGGGAAGGATGATCAAGTAGATATCCCGACTGATCATGAATTTGATTTCGAGGTAAGTGTTGCAATTATATTAGTTGCCCCCATAAAGTCTAGTTCATTGCTTGAGAGTAATAAAGAAAAAACTTGACATTTGTACGTTAACTCTAGTCTTTGAAGACGCGTATTGAGAATGAACGCAATAATATTGTTGTTGAAAAAAAAATGAGAGTGATTTTGTGCAATGACACTGAGATTATTCAAGCCGCAAAGCACTATAAAATTGATCCTGAATCTCGGTTCACCACTCTGACTGCCTCGAAAGTTGAATTCTTTATTGAACCCGAGAGGTTTGATGCTTGGTTTCTGAAGCATCCAAAGGGTTATTTCCACCAATTTTGTATTGACAAGAAAATATGACTACAAAACTGATAATCTGCACCGCCTCACTTATGAATGCCAATGCGCTGGCAAGAAGCGCGTAAGGAAAGATAGACCCCAAGGAGGTGTCACAGGCAAAAGCAGGATTCATGCTCTAGGAAATAAACAAAGTGTGGAGCAAAGATATTGGCTACGTTGAAGCCAGTGCTGATAGCTGATGGCTCGAAAGTAGGGGGCATATACTGTTGAGTATGAGTACCAGCATAACCTTAGGCTGGACAGCCTTACCGATCTCGGTACTCGGCAACTTTCAGGTGCTGTAAAAGCAGCCATCGAGTGTCTTCTTTTGAAGGGATCAACAATCCAAACTGTATTGCATGAGCTTACAATGGATTATGGCAAATTCACCCAGGTCTAGGGAGGTAACGGTCAGCAGCTCTCAAGAGATGATTTTATCACTTTCGATGATGTCTGCAATGTATGGTATAAGATCACCACAGCCGCGATGAGAAAGGACGAGAACGAGGTTTTGTCTGTATATAATATAAATGGATGCAGCAATTCAATCGGGAAGGAGCTTTTACGGTTTACAACCAAGAAAACATGAACGTGGATTTATACTTCGGATTCGCGTCGATGTGGCAACTGAGCCCATGGGAATGTGCTATGCTTTGGGTACATTTTTTTTTAAATATTATTATTATTGCTATTATGTGAATCGTTGGAAGTGCTAGAGTGTTATGTTCAAAACGTTTGAGAAGAGTGAATGGAGGAATGGAGGAATGAAGACAAAATGACAGTTAACTTTTATTCACAATCATCCATCCATCACCATCCATGCTCCATTCTCATTCGCCATTGAGATTCCTCTCCATGAAAAGGCGATGGCGCGATCCTTAGATCTAATGGACCAATGAATGGTATTTTGACATGCGCGCAAAAATATTTTGACAAACATTTATTCCGCGCTTTCTCCATTCAAACACTCCTCCTCACATACAAAGATCACTTGCCTCACTCACAGCGGTATGATTATCCATCCAGTAACGGTTTCTATCCATACCATTTGTAAATGAGCTTCATTCTACCCAGAAACAGTTATTTTGATTATTCGATTCATACAAACTAAGTTTTGTTAATAAGCAAATCTTTTTTTTTTACATGGAGTACAAAAAGCATTTTATTGACAACAATCCTGCAAGCACATGTATTGCCAAATTTAACATAGAGGAGAAGTATGTTAAAGACACCTTGCGGGAGATGCTCTTGGCGCTCTACCTAGAGTGTGATAATGATCCGAATGCAAAACCACCGTTAGCGAACCTGCGGTCCTGGATATGGGACCAAGTTTCGGTTATCCATACTTCCTCAGGCCCATCGAATGTCATTAAGGGAAGTCTATTTGTGTATATCGCTGAAATCAAATCAACTTGTACCACCATCAACGGAATATGTTTACGCGTCCATTTGGACAAATGTCTTTAATTACTTGATGGACTGGTACATTGCAAGAGGGATCCTCTAAGTGCTCTTTTCACTGCTTGTTACTGAGGTCGTTCGCAATACTGTTATTGGTGCTTCAATCCGACTGTCGTTTTATCACAGCGAAGAACTCGGATCAATTGTCACTAAGAATGCCCGGCTTGTCAATGAACGCGAATTTGGTAGTGCTATCAAATATTTAATGGGCAGGAAAGTCGACGTAGCACTGCAGACAAATGTCAGCTTTAATTGGAGATCAGAAAGCGCAGAGTTTGAGTTGAAGCTCGAAAGAGTCAATGCAGCCACTTGCCACATGTGAAAAAAATGACAGAAGAAGGCTGTGAGGATTTATACGGCCATACTATTAGAATTAGAAATAAAAAAAAAAAAAGGATTGAATATCGAAAGTTATTTCCCTCGTAGTTGCTAAAGGTCGAGGACTTGCCCTCGTCTTTTATACACTACGTCGATATGAGACATTATTGGATCGGGTAAAGCCTCACGACGTCCCTGGCTTCCAAACGACGGGATTGCACTGAAGCAGTGGTCTGCTTGCATTTACAGTATCTCAAATCAAATAAATACAAAGTATACATTTGTTCTGGGATATTCCACATGGCTTTTGTTTACAAATAGCAATTCTATTATATATTTTATTATTACCCCCTTATTGACTCATTGCTGCCTATCATTGCTGGCCATGTGCAGCATCACGTTAGCTAGATCAGAGTTCATGTTCAACCACTTCAGCCCAATTCCGCAAATCTGGTAACATTCGTGAACGAGGGACTATGAAGTTTGTGGACAGGTTTCCGCTGTAAATTACACAGGAATGAAGGGATTCTCGGGTTTGCGGATATCATTTTTTTTCCTCATATGGGGATGATTTTGTTACGACGTTGTTGCCAAGACAAGACAAAATAAAACAGGAACACTGATTAGATAAAGGAGAAGGCTGTAGGAGAGAGAAAGCTGAACAAGGGTATCAGGTTTATTACCCTTTATTACACTTCATGGAGGCTGCTATTATTGAAACGGAAAACAACAGATAGCAACAACAATGCCAAGCAAAGCAAAGAAATGATGTTTACAAGGTTCAACACAGAAGGGTGGATGGAAGAGAAAGAAAAGTAAGATGAGGGCGAGGGGCGAGGGCGAGAGATAGTGGGACGCTTACATTGGGCATAAACAAAAAAAAAAACTGTCCTCATCAACAGAGACACTGATCTCTAAGCTCACGGGCCATATGTTTGTTTTAGCAATTATTAAAAATTATATAATATGGATACAAATATAAGTGTCCTGTATATGAGGATAGAACAAGAGCTTTTTTTTTTTTTTTTTATTTTTTTTTTATATCAAGGAGTCCGCCATTTGTGAGCGCATCCAAGGAAATGACCAGGTGAATGGTGTGCCATGAATTCGGTAAGAAATTGGAAGAAAAGATAGCTATATGATCCTTTAAAATATAACAATTAGACAAGCTGGATGCCCAAGTGGGGGGACGATTGCGTGATAGTAAAAATAAAAAATGAAGATACTTCTGATCCTCTTTTCTCACTCTCACTCAAATAGTTACTTCATATACAACGCATCAGCACTTGTGGACCGACCGCGTGTTGTTGATTGTGTGTCGCTTGTGTTTATGTTTGTGTTTGTGCTCTGTGTAGAAACGTGAATCTTCCTTCCTTGTGTAACGCTCGTGTGACAGGGGGAAGAGCTTTCGACGATTCTCTTGGCAAATTCTATTTTTCTTGGCAAAAATGGTATTACCGATCATAGTTAATCTGTTCGTTGTTCTTGGCATTCTTTCCAAGTATGCACTCGTGCCAAGACTTTAGGAGAGTGTAGGAGGATACCTCCTTCAATTTCCAGAGACGGATCTTCACCTTTCCCCTGTCTTCCAACACCGTTCTTAAAAAATCAAGAAATGAATTCACCTGGTGCCAATGTTACACATCTACAGTTATTAAGATGCTAGTAGCGAGATGATGACGTTCTTTATCGTTCCTCATCGACATCTTTAGTAGATTCAGGGAGACAGAAGGCAAAGATTTGTTACGTTCATGGACCCCGCCTTGCATTTACATGCATATATTAATATTCCTCAAATGCATCCACTTGCTCTTCACTTCCCCTAATGTCAAGCTAGAATTGTCAAAATTAAAATTTTGTATGATCGAAGGAAAAAAAAAAAAAAAATTCTGAGCACTAAACGCCACGCCAAGAGAATCACCTCGCCAAGAAGGCCAAGAGAACCATTGCTCATTCTTCCCTCGTCCACCGCTTCGTCCGCCTTTTTTCCGGGATCGACATGACCATTGTTGATCATCCTGCACACCCCGATTTAATGTAACCTTACCTATCACCCACATTTAGAAAGCAATAGCCATTGCCTTCCAAGATCCTCCTTGGTTCCCAATAAATGTCCTATGCCTCACTATTTGATACACACACTTGACGATTCTGCGCATGCATTTTTTTTTTTTTTTCCTGGATGAAAATAGATCATGTCTTAAGCCAAAAATAATCGCAAATGTTTGAGAGGATGTATAAGAGTCGATCACAAACATCCAGAAAAAAAAAAATCGACCAGCGTGACAATGTCAATTTGTCCAGCCAATCTTTTTTTTTTTTTTTTTTTCTGTTTTGGCAGAGCACAACACTATCCTCATACTCCTTCAACTTTTAGTAAATGAAGGGGAGGACAAAAGAGGATTGATGTCGTAAAATAAAATAAAAAAAAAAAAAAAAGGAGCTAATAATCAAAGCCTTTAACTAATGAAATTGAATCGCCTTCTACACCTTTTTTTTTTCCTTTTGAAGCTTGAATCGAACAAGGTCATAATAATAAACTAATCACAATTAAAAAATAGAAAAAAATAAAAAAAAAGGAGGGGAGTAAAGCAGGGTCCGATTATTACCAAATGCTATTTTAAAATAAACAAATTTATTGAATCAACTATTGAGGCGATCATGTCGTCAAGTGCACAGTTGTGAGCCATGATCAGCCAAGATATTTGGTAAACTTTAGTACGCCTGAATTGGGCTGAGGACGCGACGTGCTCAACGATATTTTTTCTATAAAAGACAGGGTGATTTCTTTTTTTTTTTTTTTTTTTCTTATTTTTTTCATCCGTTCTACAAATATATCAGTTCTTAGTCATTTATAGAAGCAAAGCCAATCAGAATAGCCATTGTTTATCGTCTTCGTCCTTTTCTACCTCTTGCTTTTACTTTGTCAAACAAAACAAACACTTTTTTTACGCCCAACATTTTTTTTTACCTTCCCGCCCTCGGATAACGACTTACACAATAGCCAACTTTGGGCTTTACTGACTCACACCCCATTCCCCTGTTTTCTTTCCTTTTCTTTGTTTACTGCAAGAAATCGCAAACAACACTTGTTTTGCATCGAATATCAGAGACTCCCACAGCCCAAATCCACTTCCCTACGGCCACATAACGACTATGCAGTTTTACAAGGACACTACTTATCACCAGCATCACCCCCCTTCTTCCTATAACATGACCTCCTCCCACTCACACCCGAGCCACCAATGCTCCCAGCATTCCCAGATCCACTACCATTCAAACGAACATTCCCAATACCCATATAACCCCTATTCTCATCAAGCTCAGTGTTACTCTCGCCCGCAGGTAGGGCCAATGTACACACTTCGCGATCACACTACAGCCGCAACCACGACCACAACCACGGCTGCTGCTAACACATCCACACCGACAGTTTTCAAGTCTTCTCAGAAGAGTGATCCTTTGGCACCTTCTCAGGATATGTTTTCTGCACTGGAGAAACTCTTGATGGGCATTTCTCCATTCCCACCTTCAATACCTCAGCTGGCGAAGCCCACTTGCCCACCGCTTGAGGACCAGACCATGGCTGAGTTGTCTTCGCCTTCCATTTCATCTTCGTCACTTTCTTCTTCATCATCTTCGTCTTCGTCTCCAGTATCACTACCATCTTCTGAGCCCTCTGAGGCTTTGAGTGAACAACAACAGTCGCGCGCTTTAGGACAGCACTACGAAAAGCACGATCAGAAGCAGCAACATCACTGCTGCAAGCAACACGGCTCAGAATGCTCTCTACGCTCTGTCTCCCCTGTAACGTACTCACCTCGTAGCAGCGGCGCCATCAACAACAAGAGTTGTTCACCTTCACCCACTATGGCCATGGAGTCAAGCCAAGATCTACCTTATTGGAGTCCCTCAACACCAACTTTACAGGTTGAGCGTGAATGGAGCAACCATTCAAGTCCCCTGTTCTCCACTATCTCACAGCCTCAAGCATCAACGCAGCCTTCTTCATCATGGAATCACCCACTCTTGGATCAGATGAGCATGCCTATGAGTATGACCAATCTCGGTGACTATGCGAGTAGCAGCAACAACAGCAACAGCAACAGCAACAGCCACAGTAACAACAGTAATAATAATTTTGACACCCATGTTCCCTCGAGCACCTCCATGCTATATCCATCCCCTACCAACATTATCAGGAGAGCAGCTAGGACACCTCCTCATAACCGACGCTATCGTTTCTCGTCTGAACTTTCTGGCTTTGGTGCTTACCAATCCAATACGCATTACGCATATACTCACCATCATGGCTATAACCATTACTACCGCAACATGTCCGGATCGTCATTTTCATCAGGCAACAACAACACATTCTCCAACTCGATGACAAGCAATGGCAGTAGCAATGGTAATAATGGTAACCATCATCATCATCACAATAATAATAACAGTGGCGGTGGCGGTGGCAGTAACAACAGCAGCGGTAACAATAACAGCAACAATAGTAACAACAACAACAGCAATAACAACAACAACAACAACAGCGGCAGCAATAGCAGTAATAATAGTAACAATCCTGATCGTAACAATCCAAACAACACAAATACCAATTCAATCATGGATCCCAATGTGATCGTGCCCACAATGACTCGTGAAGGAGTGAAGTCCTATACGTGCCCTACATGTTCAAAGTCCTTCCCCACAAGAACTCAACTCAAATCCCATATGGCTATCCATATCGATAGTTTCCCATTTCCATGCTTGTATGCAGGATGTGATTTACATTTCAAGCGTAAACATGATTTAAGACGTCATGTGGATGCAAAACATGCACTGATCAAGAAGTATCTTTGCTCAGGTGGCTGTGGAGAAGGCTTTGGACGACGCGACCAGATGATCCGACATTTGAGGAAAGGCAATTGCGGAAGAATGTTTATGCAGACTGAGTAGAGAAGTAATACATAATAACAAGAACATTTCTAAATTCTAAGACATATGTAATAAAGTTTAGAATCGCACGTGCGCACAGCAGATCACTTTATTTGGGGTCCCACTTTGAATCACTTTTTTTTTTTTTTTTTTTTTCTCATCCCCTCTCATTCACATCATCTACAACCAACAGGATGAACTCACAAGTAAGACTAAAACTATTATCGGTGTTTCTTTACTCTTGCACGTGTTCCCCCAACAACGTCGGCGACATCATCAAACAGTGACGACGGACAATTGATGTCCAAGGATTCAATAAAAACGATGAGAATAATCTATGGAAGGGAACATCTTGAAAAAAAAAACATCATATCATCCATAAGCATAAGGAGAGAGGGACGGAAGCGAAATGAGAGAGAGACTGAAGTATTCACGCATCTTATTTCAGAGGGAAATGAAGGAGGGAAAAAAAAAAAAAAAAAAAAAAACGTTCTACTCACAGTGTTGCAGGAATGGTAGCACAGTCTGTTTGAAAATGAAAATGGTATTAAAAAAAAAAAAAAAAAAAAAAAAAAAAGGGAAAGGAGATTTTCAAGGAGTAAGCGATCTAACAAGACCAATCTCATTGTAACTGTTATTCTAAATAGATCTTGAATATGGCCCTGGTAATGGGCTCAATGCAGATTACCAATCGTCTGGATTTAGAGGACATGTCAACGAAGCAACTCATCTTGGGCAGCTATGTGGCTTCTCAGCTGATCATTCTCAGCATCTCTTATATGATTCAACGTCGGATTCTCTCCAAAAAGGATACCACTGTCCTCAAATACTTGGAGCAACCAAAACCATTGTCGAGTGAGGAGCCTAAAGTGATCACGACAACGAATATGGAGTACGATCTGGAACAGAATGGTCAGGCTCAAAAACAAGCCATCTTTGGTTTGGCCCTCATGGTCTTTTTACATTTCCAGTTTGGTGTCATCCGTCCTCTTGTCGTGCAATCGATCTTGCCTCTCAAGAACGCAGTGCAGTCCAAAGTTGCTCAGATTTATTTGTTTGATAAGCCTGCTGAAGGAGAATTGAAGAGACCTTGGAAGGCTGAGAATCCCTTTGCGGCTCTGACGGGCGCCACTGGTGCTGGCGCAAATGAACCTCGTCCTGAAGCAGCTGAACAGGCTGCTATCAAGGAAGCTGAGAGCAAAGCTTCAGATTCCAAGCAAGAGTCCAAGAAGGATCTTTAAGAAGACGAATAAAACTCCTTTGATTCTGTTCACCTTTTTTTTTATTTTTTATTTTTTATTTTTTATTTTAATCCTTTTTATACTTATGATACCGGCTCCTTGTACCGATTACTTTTTTAATGATCTTTGTTAAACTCAGCATTTCATAAACAAGAATAAAACTTGAAAGGACAAAACAAAAAAAGTTGCAAAAGTAATTTTCTTTTTCGTTCGTGTATTCATTTTTCCACAATGACAGAAGTCTTGAGGCAAGATAATAATTAGTCAAAAAAAAAAAAAAAAAAAAACAACAACACGCGTCAATATGACAGACATCACCCTTTTCTATTGCTCTTATCCTATTCAACTGCTTACGAACATGTACATATTTATATCTCCCTCTTTTTCTCTCTCAAAAAAGAAGTCTGGGACAAAAGTTAATATCCGTTTGTTTCTGAGTGATGTCTACAGATGATTTAGAAGTCTTTCACATTATAGCCTATATATATATATATATTAACCATTTGCGGGTTAAAATACCTGATATTGAAGTCTATAAACCAACTGGCCCAACAATTACTTGGGGCTTGGATTGGGGAAAAGGAAAGGGAAGAAATTTCTCCACAACTTATTCGATGTCGTTTCTATGAACATAATGAATAACATAAAAGACGATGGGTAATATTCAGCAATGAGCCAGGATATCGGAATGAAACGCCACAGATCAAGATGTCGCGCACAGCAATATCTGTTTATGTGGTTTAGGTAAAGAGACAACTGTCACTTTGAAGAGTATTGTTATGTATTATTTATTTGCTTTGTGGATTTTCTTTCCTCTTCTTTAACAACCTTGATAAAGTTTGTTTCATTTAATTTATGGATTATATTTATTTATTTTTTATATTATTTAACATTTACATCTACAACTTGGCAGCAGGTGTCGAGTTATGAATATCTTCATACATGGCTTTGATGTGTTCCTTGAAGTACTCTGCGACCTGGGGACGACGAACCTTGAATGTAGGTGTCATCATTCCATTGTCGACTGAGAACGCATCTGTGCTAAGGTGTACACGCTTCACAAATTCAAATCCACGCAATGCACCTGCCTTTCCAGCCTTTTCCAACTCTTTAGTGACAGCAGCTCGGATCTTGGGATCCTTGCACAACTTGCTAATACCCTCAAGATCTCCCAGGATGACACTGGTGCCTGCAATAGAGTTAGCAAATGGTACGAAGGTCTCTGGCTCTGGAATAACCACAGAGACAAGGGTTGACTCCAATGAGTCACCGTGAACATAGATCTGCTGGACGAGGTTGCAACGAGCCCCAAGAACATTCTCGATCTTTTCAGGCGCAATATATTCACCTTGGGCCAACTTATAACAAGGCAAAAGAAAGATAAAAAAAAAAAAAAAAAAAAGTTAGATGTATTATCCATACATAAGCATTCATCAATTTTTTTTTTAAAAAAAAAAAAAAAAAAAAAAAAAACAACAACAACAGAGTCATACCTTGAAAATGTTCTTCTTGCGATCAATGATGGTGAAGCATCCACGGTTATCGACAAAGCCAATATCACCTGTTGCGAGCCAGCCCTCAGAGTCGATCGTCTCTTTGGTGTTCTTCTCATCCTTATAGTAACCCTTGAAAACGGCGTCACCACGGATACAAATTTCTCCACGAGGATAGGGCTGATCAGTGGAGTGATAGTTCATTTCTGGTACATCCACCAACCTGATCTCACAGCCAGCGCGAGGGCAGCCAATGTGGCCAGGAATGTATTCACTTTTTTTTTAAAAAAGAGAAAAAAAAAAAAAAAAAAAAAAAAAAAAGAGATTAGGAAAAAGATCTTGTGGGCTTTTTCTGAAATATTCCATATAGCTTTTCCATTAAAAAACTATAATACCAAGAACAAATAAAAAAAAAAAAAAAAAAAAAAAAAAAACTTACTCGGCCATGGTAATAGTGGCAGTGGCCATGCCCTCAGTTGATCCATATCCTTCCAAAACAACGCATCCAAAGGCAATACGCAAGAAGCTGAGGACCTCCTTGGCAATAGGAGCTGATCCAGTTAGAATCACTTGGACTCTTCCTCCCAAAGCCATCTTGACCTTGTTGAACAACAATCTGTCCCATAAGGCGTGATGAACACCCTTACCGGCAGCCAAGTTTGCCATCTTGGCTGCGACTCCGCGACGTGCCAAAGCTCCAACCAAACCAGGGGCCTCAATTGTTGACGCAACCAACTTTGCATATATACGATTCAACAGGCGAGGAACAGCTGGGAAGAAAGTTGGACGAAGTTCAGCAACGTCCTCAAGAAGAAGAAGAATGTCTCCACGGAAGTATCCAATCTTGCCACCAGCGTACATAACACAGCTGTCAACGACACGACCCATAATATGGGCCAGAGGTAGGAAACTAAAGATCCGTCACATAATTACATTGAATGAGTATTAGGGTGCTTTTTTTTTTTTTTTTTTTTTTTCTTTAAAGAAAAAAAAAAAAAAAAAAAAAAAAAAAAAAAAAAAAAAGCATGTAAAGTTTGTAAACTTATGGGCCCTTACCTGATCAGGACATCGTCCGAAGTAAGGATCATACCCTCACGATTGCTACCAAGGGCGGCAACAAAGTTCTTGTGCGTCAACATTGCTCCTTTCTACATGATAAAATTAGAAAAAAAAGTTTTTCTTTGTCAGGTGCCATCATTTTTTTTTAAAAAAAAAAAAAATAAAAAAAAAAATAAAAATAAAAAAAAACTTGAGAAAAGTCCTTACAGGTTGACCGGTAGTGCCTGAGGTATAGCAGAGCGAAGCAACTTCATCTTCATGAGGAGGAATATGCTTGCGAGGAAAGTCCCGTCCAAGGGATTCGATCTCATTGAAGTCATAGACCTTGATGCCCTTCTGAGCACCCCAGGCACGGAGTACCTGTGAAGCTGAGGTAGCGCCAGGGACAGGGACGGTATCATGGAGAGAGTCCATGCTGATGATAGCCTTGAGTTTGGGCAACTTGTCGGCATTCTCGAGCATGGAAGCGATGTGGTTGGCTACAAGAAAAAAGAGATGACGTATACAGGCATTGGGTTTTTGTTAAGCAATTTTCAGATGGGCAAACGGAAAGATCAACAAACGGAAAGATCGGACACGGGAACACAAATGTACATGGATAGATACAAATGCAAAAAATCCACAGCTATTCGCACTAGTTTCACGTGGTTGAAGACCACTTTCTGTTTTCAACATACCACTCGATACAACGATCTGGATTTCAGCATGGTTGATAATGTACTCGACTGCATCGGGACCAAGGGTATCATACAAAGCAACTGAGACGAGGTTGTAGGTGTTGCAGCTCATTTCCGAGATGAACCATTCAGGACGACCATGCGACCAAATACCAAGGGACCATCTGTTCAATTGATCGTTACCCAGAATGACCTCGTTCAAGTGCATGATACCACTGCCGAAGGCACTGACCCGCTGGTTGATCTGACGATAGGTCTCCCAAGTATAGCCACCATATGTCTGAGCAACCGTGTTGAAGGGACGATGACCCAAAAAGTCATTATCGGCGTACAAAGTCACGGCTATATGAGCAGATGAATAGATCCGTTAATATGGAAAATAAATAGACGGTATGAGTGGACAATATATGTAAGGATATCGATTTTTTTTTTTTTTTTTTTTTTTTTAAATCGCTTACAGTTCTGCCAGACGTCGTAAAAGGTCTTGAGTTGAGGAGCTTCACGAATGTTACGGACAATACCATCTGCGAAAGCAGCATGTCTATAATAACCTAGAGAGTAGGCAAGGATATGATCAGTTTTGATTTGATCAACAATAGGTTAGTCGTCAGATGTTGGTAGATTGAAAAAAAAAAAAAAAAAAAAAAAAAAAAGTAAGAGAAGAAAGAACTTGCCTGTAGCTCCGGGAGTACGAGTGCCAGGTACCTCGACACTCTGCTTCTCAAGATTGTAAGCTTTGAAGGAAGGCATGACTGAAAATCTATATCCAGAAGGGAGTGCTAATCAATATTACAATGGAGGGGATTGCCAAAGATTGTAGGCAGGGACAAGTCAGGTGGAGATGAAAGAGTGGAGTGGAATGACCTGAGAAGGAGATTGTGAAATGGAGAGGAATCGAGAGGTCGAGATGAAGTAAGAGGCAAGAACTAAGAAATAAGAAGAGGCCTATTTAAGAAAAGACGGATTGTTTATGAACCGCAAGAGAGTGAGAGTGAAAGTGAGAGAGGATGAGAGAAAGGAAACTAAAATAAGGTTTTCTGTTGAAAAAGACCAGCATTACCCTTCAGTTGGTCCTCCCTTTCAGCCGGAGAAAACAAATGGAGGACAAAGGGCGCATCATGCAGGTCCGACGTGGAGGAGACCACGAACACACGGAACATCCGCACATCTCCAATCCCAATCATTGTAAATTAATATAGAACATCACAATTCAATAGCCTCTTACAACAAATTAAGCACAAAACGGAGAGGGGTGTCATTGGGCGAGGAAGCCTCCAGCTAAAAATTTACCCGTCCAACAGATCTTGCTTAAGGGTTTTTGATCTGCACTACTATTTGTGGCTGAATATTTTTTTTTTTTTTTTTTTTTTTTTTTGAGAGACCAGATGCCTACTCAAGGTCAGGAGAAGAAAACAGGTATTGGAGCAGGAACAGGAACAGGAACAGGAACAGGAACAGGAACAGAGAAATAGGAACAGGAGACAAACAGCTTCCTACGCATCTCATTACTTTCAACAAATACACACTACCATCATGGCTGCTCCAGCAATGCGTCCCCAGGGATTGTCGCAATTCAGGCGTATTTTAAGAGAAGTCCATCTACAGTACACTCATCCAAAGGAACTCACAGGAAAGGGTCTTCATGGAATCAACATTCACGCCAATAAGGTCTGGACTGAGGCTCTGAAGGACGTCTTCCGCAAGCACGCCAACGAGACAGATCCTGCCAGACTTAACAAACTTTATACAGATGGTGAGGACATGGTAATCTATCTTGAGAGTCAGCGTAAACATAAGGTAACAGAGGGGAGAAAGAAAGGATTATCATGATCTGGTTATAGTTTTAGAAGAACCGTTTCTACAGCTCATTAAACCCTGTTTATTTACAAACATCGCCTCCATATAGGGTCTCGTTGAGAGATACAATCCCAGCTTCTGGGATGAAGAAAAGGGTATTCAAGTGGACAAGACAGCCAGGATGGTGGGTTTTGAGATGCCTGAAAAGTTTGATGAGTCAATGAAGGATAAAGAATGGATCCCACCCCCTAAATTCACATTCAAGAATAAGGCAGTCGGCGAAGCAGCAGCAACATCCACTTCTGACAACTATGAGGAACTGAAGGCTCCTGAAGAACCAAAGAAGCGCACTTATCAGATCCCTAAAGCCTTCGGCTTTGCTGAGCAGGCAGAAGATGATGTTGGTCGGGCTGGAGATCGCAAGATTAAGTAAAAAAAAAAAAAAAAAAAAAAAATTCCTTCTCATGATTTCAGGAACCTCAACGCATGAACACAAATATAGATTTAAAAAAAGAAAAAGAAAAAGAAAAAAAAAAAAAAAAAAACAGTTTTTACAATAACAGCATCATGTATCATGTAAATATCACTCAAATATAGATCTATCAAACATAATAACAACTGTTCGCAATTGCTCCTCTCAAAGCTCTGTAACGCAAGTCTAACGTAAAATAGCGTTCATGATTCTATAGACTTTTTATTGTTGTTGTTGAATATATATTATCTATTGTCTCTCTGACATTACATCTTCTTCTTTTTTTTTTTTCTTTCTTTCTTTCTTTTTGCCCTCCGTGTAACAGTTATCCTAAAAGATGTGAAAGATCTGCATTGGGATCAAAGACTGACTTCACATTGTCCTCTTTGAGTCGTAAGTCTTTTTCAAATCTACACAATTCATTAAAGTAAGATGATTTCCAAGTTGTTTAGTGTCTCTTCAATGAGAATATCTTTTTCTTTTTTCTTTCTTTCTTTCTTGCTTTTTTTTTTTTTTGTCTTTGCCCACTCACCTTTCACCCATCCTCTCATCATGACCTTCTACAGCAATAGCCATCTGCGGTGTCTTGGCCTCTACAATGAACTTGTTATCACAATGCGGACAATATTCATCTTCCTCTTCGAAATTCCTGAAGTAATAAAAAAAAAAAAAAAAAAAAAAAAAGATTTATTGCTTAATACACTATTCCGCTATATCTTTCTAACTTTTTTATTTTTTATTTTTTTTTTTTTCCTAAGTAACTGAAAACTTGATGAAATGAAACTTACGACATGTCTTTACGGAACACCTTTTTGCATTTTTTACATCCGAACACCATCTCAGTAGTCTTTCTAAGAGGATGGTCTGAGACTTCTGCATGGCACTCTGCACAATCAAACCATTGCTTACAGCATGGGGCACGAATAGATGCCTATATATTTATATACATTTTTTTTTTTCTTGTCTATTAGCGTGCTTGGTCTTGGGTGTTGCATCAAAAAGAAAAAGTAAAAAAAGAAGGGGGCTTCGCATCTACCTGAACGTTGAGGATGTGTTTGCACATGATGAAGGATAATGAGAAAGAAAAAAAAAAAAAAAAAAAAAAAAAGAATGTGGCTAATGTGACTCCATCTGATTTTTTTTTTATTTTATTTTATGCAACGCAGCACCGATGTCTTGTCCGCAGCAGAAAACAAAATTTTGTGGCAACGGCGCTTGTAGTACAAGACTAACCCAAATCTCATGGATACAGCGGCATAGCCATCTGTGCAGTAATAACTGTTTATTGTCTATAGCGTCTGGGGCATTCTATCCACAAAACAAATCCTTTCTCTTTTCTTTTATCAAGTTCGAGTGACCACAAATTAGGTATAATTACTATTAATGATTTATTGGGGCATTCAGGCTATACTATTGAAATGGAATTTTATCAAGCCGTGGTAAGTTATAGCTGTAGTTGCCGTAATTACTCACGGATGTTTCAGCTGCCGTCGTTGTTACAGACGGGTACTCTCGTTAGAAGCCTTGATTGTGATCTCCATGGTGGGCGTGGTCCTGGCGATGGTGATGGCATTTGCCATTCTGGCAGCGGAGGGGTGGGTTGGAAGTTGGCATTGCTGGCTTGGGGGTTTTTGTCCTTGTCCTTGGCTTTTGGGTGGTTGGGGTTGGGGGTCGAAGAGTAGGAGTACTTGGAGTAGTGGTTGTTGTAGTTTGAGCAGTGGTCGTTGTAGTTTGAGCAGTGGTCGTTGTAGTTTGAGCAGTGGTTGTCGTAGTTTGAGCAGTGGTTGTCGTGCTGCTCTCAGATTCCGAGGCGCTTTCGGATTCGGATGTACTCTCGGACTCTGTGGCACTTGTAGACTCTGTGGTAGATTCAGACTCTGTGGTGGATTCAGACTCTGTGGTAGATTCAGACTCTGTGGCACTTGTAGACTCTGTGGTAGATTCAGACTCTGTGGTAGATTCAGACTCTGTAGTGGATTCAGACTCTGTAGTGGATTCAGACTCTGTGGTAGATTCCGACTCTGTGGTAGATCCAGACTCTGTGGTAGATTCAGACTCTGTGGTAGATTCAGATTCTGTGGCACTTGTAGACTCTGTGGTAGATTCAGACTCTGTGGTAGATTCAGACTCTGTGGTAGATTCAGACTCTGTGGTAGATTCAGACTCTGTGGTAGATTCAGACTCTGTGGTAGATTCAGATTCTGTGGCACTTGTAGACTCTGTGGTAGATTCAGACTCTGTGGTAGATTCAGACTCTGTGGTAGATTCAGATTCTGTGGCACTTGTAGACTCTGTGGTAGATTCAGACTCTGTGGTAGATTCAGACTCTGTAGTGGATTCCGACTCTGTGGTAGATTCCGACTCTGTGGTAGATCCAGACTCTGTGGTAGATCCAGACTCTGTGGTAGATTCAGACTCTGTGGTAGATTCAGACTCTGTGGTAGATTCAGATTCTGTGGCACTTGTAGACTCTGTGGTAGATTCAGATTCTGTGGCACTTGTAGACTCTGTGGTAGATTCCGACTCTGTGGTAGATTCCGACTCTGTGGTAGATCCAGACTCTGTGGTGGATTCAGACTCTGTGGTAGATTCAGACTCTGTGGCACTTGTAGACTCTGTGGTAGATTCCGACTCTGTGGTAGATTCAGACTCTGTGGTAGATCCAGACTCTGTGGTGGATTCAGACTCTGTGGTAGATTCAGACTCTGTGGCACTTGTAGACTCTGTGGTAGATTCCGACTCTGTGGTAGATTCAGACTCTGTGGCACTTGTAGACTCTGTGGTAGATTCCGACTCTGTGGTAGATTCAGACTCTGTGGTAGATCCAGACTCTGTGGTAGATTCAGACTCTGTGGCACTTGTAGACTCTGTAGTGGATTCAGACTCTGTGGCACTTGTAGACTCTGTGGTGCATTCAGACTCCGTGGTACTCGTAGACTCTGTGGTGCATTCAGACTCTGTGGCACTTGTGGACTCTGTGGTGCATTCGGACTCTGTCGTAGTTTCAGTCGTACAGTCAGTAGTAGTGGTTGGAGGAATACAAGTCGGTTCAGTTGTGCATGGCGCCCAAACGACTATAGTCTCAGTCTTGCAGTTTTTCTTATCACAATCCTTCTTGGGGTGCTTCTTATGGTGTTTGTGGTGTTTTTTGTGATGCTTCTTATGCTTATTGTTCCAAAGCCGAGTAGAGCCCAAAGCGTCCGCCCTGTCCAAGCCATGGGAATCAGTTGCTAAGTCGAGAGCTGCAGCAGAAAGATCGTGTCGAGCGCGTTGGGCTTCACCAAATGTAGAGGTTAATGCAATGGCACTAGCCAAAGCAAGGATGAAACTTTTAATCTTCATGATAAAGGAAACGCTATTATATCACGTAGCGCACGCGTTGGGTAATATCAGTTTTTATTCGTTTGGTGTTAGGGTATTGTGTGGGTTCAGGAAGATAGGTATATGGGTGGGGTTTAAATGTTTTCACTGGTGAGATGAGAACAAAAAAAGAAAATTACAAATAAGAAAAAGGAGAGACAAAGGTGGTTGAATTCTTGCTTCATATACTAATGGCCGCGCCTTTAGGAACCTTCTTTTTTTTTTTTCTTTTTCTTAATTTTTCTTTTGTCGGTGAAACCAAGAAGGCTGCATATCATTCTAATGGGGACCGGATACTATAAAGTAAATCCACAAGAGAACCGGATGGATGATGTCGAACCTCCTTTCTTTTTAGACTCGTTCCCCTTTTCATTTTAATCAAAGCGTTTTGTTTGCATGCACGCCCTTAATGGAATGGGATCGACTTAAAAAAAAGGGGGTTGAGATTGAGATTTTCATTTGAACGCCCAATTGCCTCAGGAATGTGAACGGAGAACAGAAGGAATAGAATGGAGGGACTTTTGGACTACTTGCAGATTCATTATCCGCTTCTTACAAAAAGGAAAAGTGGGACGTTTGTTCAGTGCCATTTCAAACGTTCTTGGGGATATATGGAATAAAAAAAAAAAAAGACTTACTTCTTGTTGGCAATATCGCATATTCTCCCTGTATTGTTGATCAGGAAATGCAAAGTCGTTGCATCACAGCTGCAGTTGTGCTGACTTACAGATACCTATCATGATCATGAATGCAACATTTTACCTGCTTTTTTTCGACGATAAGGAAAGAGGGTTTGGAGAGTCAAATAACATACATGATTGAAGTCATCTCGCATGGTTATCTTTTCACATAGAAAAAAATAAGAGATGTGTCGATTCAACAATACACACCTTCCTTTTCTCAGTTCTGCAGGTCCTGTGTATTTATTTTTTTTTTTTTTTAATAATGAATCATATCTTATGGAGCAAACACATGTATCTTATGGATCAAGCACATGTAACTCATGCTCCATCCCTGGCTCTTTCCTCTTAACCACATAAAATTAGATTATATATATATTAAAGCCTATAATGTCTTGCAACATTAATGAAACTGGAGGAACGCCGGCGCAGAAATATATAGATACGTGATTAATGGTCAAAAGAGTCAAAGCCTTTGTCTAGAAAGACTCGATGGAGTTCTTTATTCTCTATCGCCACCACTTCGCTTTATATCCCACCATGCCTTTATCTTGTTATATCTTGCTACTGCAATCTCCTTGGCACTACGTCCTTCCATATCAGCATTGCCATTGCCTAATGATCCAGTTACATCAGTCTGAGCTGGAGATTTGGAGTTTAGCTTGCCAAATAAATACGTATCCTTATTTAGCTCAATAGCCTTTTGTTGCAATGGAGACCACATACAATCCTTTCCAGCATATATATAGGCCAATCCAAATGTTGATCCAGCAAGATGGGCCTTAAAATTAATTTTACAAGGTGAAATCAGCTCATTAATATAAATGACAGAGGATATATCAATTAAGTTAAATAAGTAAAAAAAAATAAGAAAAATAGAGGAAAAGGGTACATACATAATGGTCAAATATTCTCCAGTTTCTGATGACACCTGCAAGATCCAATGCCATCATAGCACCGACAGCCACGGGCATTTTGAATGAAAGAAACGGCAAGAAAATTATGTACGCACTCGCATTAGGATACAGATAGGCAATCGAACTAAGACATCCAAACAGTGCGCCGCTCGCACCCAATGATGGGATCATTTTTGCCCAGGATACACGTGCGACTGTAAATAAATGTGATGCCAGTGAAGCAGTGAGACCTGTGGTGAGATAGAACGCCAAAAACTGCTCACGTCCCATGTGTTCATGTAACGGCATAGCAAACGAATGGAGTGCAAACATGTTTAATCCAAAGTGCCAAAAGTGTTGATGACTGAATATCGATGTCAACAAGGTGATAGATTTTCCATGAGCTGGATGATGCATAAACCATCGTTCCATGAAGGGCGTCAAGCGAGGAACCTTCCATGCCCCAAACACAATCGAGTTCAATCCAATGATAGCCCAGATAGTCCGTTCTGCAGGTGTGAGTTCCATCCATTTTGCTCGCATCATGAAGAGTGCTTTTTGGACCTCTAAAGGGATTCCAATCTCTTGGATCCAGCGAAATCGCTCCAGGACCACGACCCACTTCTCTTTTAGAATCTTTGCTTGAGCCCGAGCAAACTCTCCTGCTGTGGGCCGATCATTCTTGGCTTGAGATCGCCATGCTTGGATTTTTTTCAACAAAGTTACCTGGTTTCGTTCCCAGAGGTAGGCCGCTGATGTAAATGCTCCTAATGATACAATCACTGTGAAGAGGACAGGTTTTACAATCGCTTGAAATGGTGTTGGGGCGCGTCTCAAGACATAGTGAGGGAGAGGTGGAATAGGTATGGATGTGGCTGTCGTATGCTCTATCACAGAGTGTGGTCCCAAACGTTGGTTCGAGTAATATCTGAGCGTTGAAGACTTGAGCCAAGGTAGCGACTTGTTTGTTTCAAGACTCATTATCCTGCTATGCCCTGGAATCGAAGCAACCGAAGCAGTGGTAAATGTCTTGTGAGCTTTAAATTCACCATTAATTCTTTTGAGACCGGTCGTTAAAAAGAATGCTTGAGGACATTGAGACGATCTCTTTGTTAGCAATGTCAATGCAATGGTGCTTTGGCTCATGCTGATTGTGTGTACTGATCTAACTCGGAGTGAATGATTAACAGCTTGATGCAAATAATGAGAAGAGGTAGAGACAAACCACCTGCGCTTTTTTTTATTTCATTAATTCCCATATTGGGCTAAATCGCTACGCGTAATGATTGCAAACAAACCAAGGCTTTTCATTGTTATCTGGAATTTTATTACAAAAAGGCTTGATCCTCATTCTATGAAGGCAATAGCAGACCCCGTTTGACCATGAAGTCTTCTGAATATTTGTATAACCTCTCCTGCAGCTCTTCATCCATTGCATATGAGCCTAAAGAAAAAGGAAAGAAGAAAAAGGAAGTATTTTCAGGTGTCGAGTCATTGCTAGCTGAAGTTGCAGCACCATGGTAGTTTTTTTTTTTTTTTTTTTTTTTTTTTTTTTCTTCTTTACTTGGACGGAGCTCATGTGCATCTGGGACGAAAAAGCGTCCTGTCAAACTCTTCTCCTCGATCTCTGGGCTCGTGGCACAGTATAGCGAGGTAATGGTCCCATCTACAGCAGGTCTTCCAACCAACTCCCTCGTCTTTATTATCGCTTTAGATGCAGCATGACCAAACAAAGCCTGCGTTTCATTGTCGATCCCTGTATAACAATATCCTGGGTGTAATGAATTGACAAAAACTTTATCGTGTCCTGCATCTGTTAATCGTCGCGCTAATGCCTTAGTATACAAAATGTTGGCAAGTTTAGATCGATTATAGTTCACAGCTGCTGATTCTGCATCTACTTGACTCAAAGTTCCGAATTGAATTCCTCCTTCGGGCAAATTCAAGGCATGGCTTAACGAGCTAAGGTAAGAGAAGAGGTTGTTAATCTTTATCATGTCAGGCATTCACTTCCTTCCTCTTTTCCCAATAGATCTTGTCCATATTATTTAAACTCAACGCACCTTAAGATTACGACCCTTGATGGCTGTGACTCGATGATTTTTGGTAACAGTAATTGTGTGAATAAAAAGTGTCTACCGGTCATTTAAATTCATTCGAATTCAAACAAATATAAACAGTTTAGACAGATACTTTTTTAAAAAGGTTGGGGTATCTCTGCGTGACATGATCATGTGCTGTGTGATTATGATCATTTGGATCACTTGTAATCATAAATCATAGTTCTTGAATTTTTTTTACCCCATATGGTTGACTGCAAACACATTCTCGATTCCATCCTTGCTTAGCTTTGATGGTATGAGTCCTAGACCCGCATTATTAATCAAGATATGGAGCGGTAATCCTTTGGACAGAAACTCTTTCGCAGACTGAGCGACAATACGAAGATTTGATAAATCCAGGAATAAAAAATCTACTTTAGGATAGAGTTGAGGTGCTGTCTCTGCCAGTTCCTTTTCCATCTTTTCAATTGCTTCCAAGGCTTTGGTTTGGTTGCGACAAGCTAGAAAGACATGAGCACCATGCCTTGCCAGCTCCAATGCTGTCTCATAACCGAGTCCTGCATTCGCTCCTGTGACAATTGCTACTTTCGAAGTGAGATCTGGAATATTTTCCAATGAGAAGTTGCTGGGTTGGACAAATGTCTTCCAATAATCGACATTGTAAATGAAATCGAGCATCGGAAATGTTTTTTTTTTTTTTTTTTTTTTTTTTTTATACTTTTTCTATACTTGACGAAGATAATGAGAATAGGAAGAGAGAAGAGGGAGAAAAAAGGAGGGCAGGAACAAGAACAGAAAATGGTAAATGAGTGAGGATCAAGCTCAAAGATGAGCACCTTTATTTTAGCGCGCACTGACGTTGATCGAAGATATTTTTTTAAGGATCAACACTGGCTTTGGAACGGGAAGGGTAATTGAAGGCAAAAGAGGCGTAGGCAATAGACACAAAAGAGTTTAGGCTCTACAACCTTTTTAGTCAAACCTGGGCATGGTTACTGATACGCAGGACAAGAGGTGAATAGTTTCTGATAGCCTTAACATGTCATTCTCAGAGTTGTGGTCTACAATTCACACTTTGTGCCATATTTGGTGACTCTGTAAGTAAAAATGATTATTATATGTTGAGATACAATAGATCCAGATCGGATGTTTCGGTCATGGCTTTTCAATAATCATTTAGATAGTCCGTCCCATTAAAAAACGAGACATTGCATCTGGTGTTAAAAGAAGTGTATTAGAACAAAGAAATAAAAAAAAAAAAAAAAAAAAAGTATTATCGAGCCAATACTTACAATTTTTTTAAGACGAAGGCCTTTCTGGACCTAGTCATGTTTGTAGTAGATTGTGTCCTACTGTTGTTGCCGGCTTGTCTCTCCCCCTCCTCCTGGACCCAGCAAAGGTCCTTTCGGTGGTCTTGATCCCTCTACTCCTCCTCCTCCTCCTTCATCTGAAAATTTCCTTTTTGTGGGTCTGCTACTACTACCACCACTGCCACCACTGCCACCACTACCTCCACCATCGCCACTACCGCTAGAAGCTTGGCCTTGAGTTCCTCCGTCCGGCGGCATATATTTTGCAGGTCGTTTTTGCTCTCTTGTCTGCGACTCACAGACCCTTGCGATGTTCTCAGCACCAACAGCATCTCGATCAAAGTATGCTTTACAATTTCGACAGTACTTGGATCGAAAAGGAACATTCTCCAATATACTGTCGCAGTGAGGCCGTGGACACTTGGCAGATGTGTAGTATTCATGACAACCTGCAATGGGGTAGTCTAGAGATTTTGCCTGTTCGAGCCAGATTTAATACTCGTTAAAAAAAAGACTCAAAAATTAAATGTCATTGATCAAGGGATTTTTTTTTTACCTTTTCAACAAGCTTCTTCATCAATATCCCATGCTTCGATACTTGTCCTCGGTTTGTCTTGAATGATCCTAGTCCAATACAGATCACCGCATTCGTATTGGCATCTCTTCTTCTTCCATTGCTTCCGCCCGCAAGCTTCAGAATTGCCTTGATCACATAATCAACCCATCCGTTCTGTGCTTTTCTATTATCCCAGCTATTCCGAACAAACCACCCGTCATTATAGAAATCGACAAGCGCCCTATATATAGTCTCCCTATTGTCGTCACTGGTCCCATGCTGCCTGGGTGTCATATTTAACTTCTACATTCTCGAGGAGACGGGATCTCTGCTTCCAGTTGATCTCACGCCGGGGACTGGGACTCACCGGGGACAGTGGATTTGTGCTCGATGTACCTTCTTCAGCTGCTTCTTCTCCCTCGCCGCCATCTAAGAATGGTTCATCAACTTCCAGCAAGTCAATATCGCTGATACCCAGCAAGATATCGTCATCTTCATTTCCGTCGTCGTCTCCATCATCACCACCATCGCCTGCACCATGGCCTGAAGACGAGGATCCCTGCTGAGCACTTGAAGAAGCCTGGACTGCTTGAGATCTTTGAGTATCCGAAGGTTGGGCAGCTTGCGAACCTCTACCTCTTTTTTGCTTCGATGTGTCATAGGCAAGAAGTGTTAGGGTAAGGCCGTTTGTAAAGAACGATGTCCGTAGTTTCCTTCTAGGGCCATCATCAGATTGCAGTCCAACGTCCTTGTATCCTTTCAAGGAAAACAGCTCCTGCAACAATATCCCCTTGTGGTTAAGGATCTTGTCCTCTGCAGCCCCCTTGGTACTCATGTTTAGTTCCAACAATTGGACTATTTCCTCTCGAACTGTTGGGTTAGACCATAATACTCACGAAGACTTTCGCATGACTCCATTGTCCGCTTGGGGGGCCTCATTGTATCGTTTATTGATTGATTGATGTGATATAGTGATGATAATATTCGTCGTATGATTGAGGCAATCTGAGTTGATTCGTTCTACAGCCTGACTAACTTGATCTTTTTCTGTACAGCTCGACGAGACTTGATTTGTCGCATCATTTGCTTACTCGTCTCCTTGCGTTCCCTTGATGTATTTGGGTTGATAAACACTGCTAATAGAGTTTGTTGGGCCTGTTGAAACCAGAGGGAACCACAGCAACATATCATACCCAAGGTGATACAAATATCTCTGTTGGAGTGAGTGGTGAACTGTGTGTGGTTCAGATGTAGTGGACATAAACGGCGAAAGAATGCATCGAAAGGATATGAGCGGTTATGAGAGCAAGGAAGAAGGGGTTGGTATGCCTGTTCAAGTCCTTGGCAAGAGAGCATGAGTAGCAGTTGTGATCAATGGTATAGTTTCTAGACCCTATCTTCCACGTACAGCATTGCATTATTGTTGTTTTCAGACCTGGCACCAATCATGCGAGGTATTTCTTTTTCTGAGGGTTCCCTGTGTTAAACGGCCAGACAGAAAGCTTAGAAGAGTTACAGACACAACGGTGAAAAAAATGTATGTGAGCAAACAGTTTGTTTATTTGTTGTCTGCATATGCCTTCTTTTATCGCGGGCTTTTTCCTTTTTTGTTCGTCAATCACTGTGTGCACGAATAAGCAGCTGAAGCATCTCTTTTGTTTCTGTACAGTCACCTGAAATAAAGTTTGGACAAAATGGATTTTCTTGATTTTTTTTGAACAACCTGGACAAACAGCTCATATGCAACATACATAAAGACTTCATCAATACACATGAAATTTTACATGCTCACTAAAGAGGTCAATACTGTTATTTATTGGGGTTTTGAAGACGGCATTGTTAGAGCAGCAAAAGCGCCATGTAGGCTCAATAGTGAGTGTTCCTACCATCGACCCCATTCACTTCTTCCAGCCTTTCGGGCATGGTAGCGACAAGGCTGGCCAGCCTCTCTTGCGGTAAATTATTCCACTCTTCGGTAAGAGCCCGTGTGAGAGTGGGAAGATCTCTTGGCCCTTTAGCGCGCCTATCGAGTGCATCCGCAAGAAGTGACCATACATGTTCAATAGGGTTCAAATCTGGGGAGCATGAAGGCCAGTCTGGAATCCTGGGGATGCTGTTTTTTTCGCGCCATTCTTTTGCAATCTTACAAGTATGAACTGGAGCATTATCCTCCATAAGTATGCCATCCTCTACCTCAGCCATAAATCTGGCTAGCTCGCCTTGATATACATCTTCCACGAAACACCGTCCATCTTTACGACCTCTTTCAAATACAACCAACCGAGACTTTCTGGTTGCTGTGAACGCCCCCCAGACCATCAGAGTTGTTCTACCACTTTTGAAAGTGGGTGCGAGGCAATCATGATCGTACTTTTCCTCTACTTTACGCCAAACTCTTATTTGACGAAAATGCTCACCAACTTCAAATGATGATTCGTCAGTCCAAACTACCCGATTCCAGTCTTCCATGGACCAACTCATATATTTTTTGACAAACTGCAGCCTCCTTTTTATATGTCCTTCTTTTAAGAATGGTTTTTTTACTGCAATCCGGCTGAAAATACCCAGTGAATGCAATGCCTTCGCAACTGTCCTCTCGCAAACTTTGTTCGGCAATTGGTTAGTGATATCATTAAGAGTACACCTTCTATTCTGCTTAGTATGGCGAACGATGCTCCTGAGGTCCCGTTCACTTAGTACTTTGGGCCGTCCTGGGATCGGAGTGCAAGCAGTGGTGCCTCTTTCTTGGTACACCCTGATAATATTAATAACAGAGGTTCGGGGTACACCGCGTTGCAATGCGATTTCCGCAGCCTTCATGCCCGCGAGGTGCATTCCAACGATGATATCTTTATTCTCAATGTCTAAGTGTCTCGCCATGGTGGTTTACTCAAGCTGTTTGTATGTGAAAAACAGGAAGGAAAGAGATTGAAGGAAACGCTTCCCTACGTAACTATTTCAATATTTTATTTTTTTGTCCAATCTTTGTTTCAGGTGACTGTACATGCACAAGCACATTTTGCTAAAACACAAGCAGGATAATATTTACCCTCCGATTCTAATACAAAAACGATATCTGGTCCAGATGGGTTCTCTTTTGGAAACAAAACAAAAAAAAAGCGAGATTAACTTGGATTCATGTATGGAGTCTTTGTTACAGTGAGTATCTAAGAATTCGCTCATTGTTATAATTCTGGAAGATTGAAATTAAACAAAGCGGGACTGAAATACTCAAAATGTGTGCCCTTTGTGCCAGACGTAGGGGCGTCTAGCAACACTATTAACCAATTTAGCCAATCAAGAGTCATCCACTTCAAACAAGTTAATTGCTGCTATAAATGATATTGGCTCAACGATAATTGTAAACTCCTTCTTCCTTTGATTAACGACAATTCAAGCAAACGAAACCTCGACCGGAACAGGCTCATTGTACTCCAATATCAAGTCTTTACTATATAGTAATCTATTCATTCTTTACGGCTCGACCGAAGGTTTCCCTGATGTCGACACTGATTTTAATTCCTGCATCCCCTTTGTTAATACGCTTCAGAATTCTAGATTACTCATGGCATAGGTTACCAGATTCTTTATATCCTGGATCAGTGAGCGACCACACCAGGCCCTTGATTTCTTGCTTCCAAAGGCCTGCATCGGCACGTCCAATGACGTTCTCTATTATAGTGATCATTGGACGGAGACGACCACAGGACCAAGCATATAGCATCCATTGGCTAGGCGTCATTCTACCTTCGGACAAGTAAAAAGGGTAAATTGATGAGTATCAAATATAAAACATAAAGGCATTTTTGCTTACGTTCTTCAAGGGGTATACGAAAACCAAACTGCGATTAACCGCCTATGAACGCAAGACACAGAACTTTTGGTGAGATTATAAACAAGCGTGGATATCCCAGACATCAAGGACCTTTTCCTCCTAATCTTTCATCCGTCTAGCATGAATTGATGTGAGAGGGGATGATTCTGGCGAGATTGATCTCATTGACCACAGGTTGCCATCCCGTGCACGCACCATGGGGCTAAAACGACATTTATGTCTTTAGAGTGGAGCTGTCATCCTAGCTCCCGGTAAATGTTTTGGCGCCCTGGATGAGGTCTTTCGCAAGTGGCAAGCATCCAGATGACAAAGCATACGAGAAAGGATAATTTCCTATGCCAGCTGTCCTGCTGATAATAATATGGTTTTGGGTCTCATCATCAGACTCTCACTGGGTTCTCCACAGGATTCTTCATCTCTATCCGTTTTTACAAAACTCTTTGATAATAGTATCACAAAATCCTGCCTTTTCTTGCACACAAGATCGCACAATGATCACAGCTTTATAAAGTTCTAAATGCCCCAGTAGAAGGGAGGACGGATTAAACCGCTCTATTTATTCGTCTAAAAGGTAAGTGGATAATGATAGCTCCATTCATAAAGAATGAACCATTGTAAAAAATACTCAAGGAACGGGTATAATGCTTTTTTTTAAAAAAAGACAAAATTTCATCCACTTGGTTGCTATTCGATTTAATTCTCCAGATTCGTACCGGCTGATCCTCCTGAATATGCAGCTTCGATGTCGATTTTTATGACACGCTGACTTACATGTTTTAAGCATTTATATGGCTTCTGGACGACCGTATTTCTGGCGGTAAGAAAGTTCTGAACTTTAAAATCGTCATATACGACTCCTGGCACCACAAAATAGAGGAAAATATCATCACTTCCCTTCGACTTTGATCGGTCTCCAGTAATATAATCAATTATCTTCCTGAATGGTGCTTGCTTGATCGGATGCTTCTCTGATACTGTGATCTGAAATAGCTCGTTGGGTCCCAATGCAAAATCAATGCACGGAAATTTAGAATGTTTTGGTACAAACAACTTGCCAGCTGCTTGAGTGAGCCTTGATAATTCCTCTGAAGTCCGGATAAATACCTCTTCTGGATTTGCTGGAAAATCAAGAAATCCTGTTTCGCCTGACTGGAGATCCCTAAGGGAAATCTAATATCACCACGTCGAAATAAGTGATGAGCATAGATTTCAAACAGTGGGCCTTTATCTATATCCTCTCCGCCTGTGACAAGTTTCGCCAACACATCGACCCAAGTGTTATCTTTTATTTTGTCCATAATCTGTGATTCGACCCAACGAGATGCCCACACCAGGTAGAAGTCGAGATGGTCAGAAGTGGGGACTCTATGGAGTAAACGACCACTAAATCTACTCGCATCTTTTCCTCGTGCAAAGAGGCTTAGAAGATCTGCTGGTTTCTCGAGTGTACTAATGGCATTATTGACGCGGAGAAACGCAGCTTCTTTAGCACGCTTAGTATGTTTTTGATTTTTGGATAGTACATCGGCTGGACACTGTAGAACCTGTCTTGGCACGCCCCCCAAGTCGTAAAAAAGCTCCTCCAAAAATGCTTCACTCACTACATGAAAAAACTTTACATTGGCTCTACATTCCTTAAGCTCATCCAGACTCCAGAGTGACATGTGATAGTAGCTATTTGGTGTATTTTCCTTGGTGAGTTCATCGTAATGCCCATAGAGAGTTCTTGGCGATGCTGAAAATATCGTCCTGGCTTTACCTGGTTGAGGATTTTCACCACTATCAACTAAATACCACGTTTCACGTTGGTTAAGGAAATCTTCAAACATCGTTATATTCCCTTTACGTTGGCAAGTTGTTCCTCCATAAACATAACATTTGGTATGCTGCTTCTCTTGGAAAATAATAATCGGTGGATTTTCCTCATCGTGTTCGGCAAGGAGGCGGATGGCAAAATAGACCAAAAAGGCTGACTTCCCAATTCCAGGCGTTCCAGTGACAAAGAGTCGGTTCAAACGAGGTACTTCATGAGGGGTACTTAATTCGGATGTAATATGGTCATAAAGCTCTTTATATTCATCTCTGATATAAAGATGCCTTGTTCCGGCAACAGGGAAGATACAACCCTCAGGGGCAGTCAATATTTTGGAATCCTTGATACCACCAGAATTTCGGAGCTCGCGAGCCACGCTAACAATGCAGTAGTCAATACTATCTGATGGTGTCTTCCCCATGTACGAAAGCAGCTTGACCCTCTCTTTCGAGTTTAGACGCGAGATGGCAGGCCTACCATTCACTATCCCTTTCGTTACAAGCCCTGCTTCTGTAATCGCGTCCATAAGAGCATCTCTATTCATGCTTAGACGAGCTTTTTTAGAGGGTGACTCTGATAAAGGAGATAGAGTGATCAAAGTCAATATTTTTGATTTACTGCACTGCACATCACTCTGAATTGATCAATAACCAGGTTCTCAGCCAAAAGCACTCACCAGAATCTCCATCTTGTTTTCTTTTCTGAGCTAAGTATCAAAAGCGAATAATGAGAAAGAACGTTGAGTTATCAAGACACAAACCAAATGGTGATATTATGCACATGGCCGTTTAAGATACAAACCAAGCTTCATCAGCTG